AAAAATAAAAAAATCTACCCTTCGGTTTATTTGTTTATTTTTATGTCACCCTCCTTCAAATATAAAATTTCCATTCATTCCACAATTCATCTTTATTTATATATTGTAGCATTTTACCTATCCAAATACATGGCATATTTTACATCTTAGTCATATTGTTGAATCTGAAAATATTTGGAAAACACACTCAAGATATAGGACGTTTTATTATGAAGTGGTTAAAGAGAGAGGGGGAACTGTAGAAACTGTGAAAGAGTAGAGTCTTTATTCATGACATGGACCCTCTATTTATAGGAATATGTCACAAAAGACAATATTCAAAGAGTTGCATGAAGTAGAAATGGAGGCCGCCATTAAGATTGCCGCCGCTTTTAATGCTCTAATGACAATCATTATGAATGATCATACAACTTGAAGCCCTTCACTCGATCGCTGAAGCCAATGGAGATCATCTTCTTTGCTCGTAGTTCCAGTTTATCATTCTACATGTAATAATAAGTTGGATACCCAAACGCTCTCATGTGCTCATAAATCCCGTATCTTTTAAATTAAGAAAAGGAGCAATCAGTTAAATTAAATAATAAATTACGAAAAGAATATATTAAATTAAATAAAAAATTATGAGAAAATTTACGTAAAAAAACTGCTTATAATAATTTTGATGACTATCGTGCAAAATAATATATATATATATATATATATAGCATGATATGGCTCCCTAATTCCTTGCATATATTTGGATTAATTATTATTTAAGTTGTTAATTTAATTTTTTTTAATACTTTTTGAAGAAATTTTAAATAATCCGCAAACAGAAAAAAGGCTTATCACCTGAGAAGACCGCAGTTGATACAGGTACGTATATTTTTTTATTTGTAATAAAGTAAAAGTTATTATTATTATTATTATTATTTTAATTCAAATACCTTTTCCAATAAATTTTTAAAATGTAAATTTTTGTTATTTATTTCTTAACTCCCTTTTTTTTTTGTTTGTTTGCAGAATTTACACTTGCTCGTCTGGAAACACAGAATAGAGCAGTTTTAGGGTCCGTTTGGGGTCGGCAGTGCAGCACCGCACCGTAATTTTGTCTGTTTAGGTAAACTTTGTTTTGATAGTTTTTCAAAAAATAGTTGTTGAAATCTGTGTTTCCCCACCACTGTTAGGTAGGTGCGGTGTCAGCTTTCTAGCAGCAGACTACTTATAAAAAAAAAAAATTATAATAATCACCGTAATTTTTTGAAAATTAGATTATTATTCAGTAGTTTAAGAGCTATAGAAAAATTAGATTATTATTCAGTAGTTTAAGAGCTATAGATTGAAAGAGCCCAAAAGCCGAGCTTGAAAACAAGTAAGATTTTTAATGCTTCAATTCAACTAAACCTTTATTATATTTATTGTAAATTTGAATTTAACTTTATTTTATTTTTTAATAAGTGCGAGATGATAAAATATATATTATAAACAAAATGATTGGATGTGTTGGATAAGTATGAATTTAAGTTTTCAAGATTATCTACTAATAAACACAAATTCCTCGTTTTGTTTGACGAAGGTTTACATATATACCACTCAATTACTAAGCATTTACGTATCTAATATTTACATCAATTTTTACATATATGCCATCTTTTATATGCATAAAAATGTGAATTTTATCTTCTAAAAATCAAAATAATAATGTATTTGATGTGATATAAAAGATTTCACCGTTAGAAACGTAGAAAATCAAGTTTAGATGTTAAATATGCAAAAACATAAGAACTAGATGGTATGTATGTAAATGCGCCAATTTCATTCCATCGTCGCCAAATGTGATGTTTTCTGCTGCAATTTTGTTTCATTGTTTCTATACTTTTGACCATAGTTGATCTAAGGATTGTTTACTCTCTCTCTCTCTCTCTCTCTCTCTCTCTCTCTCTGCTAAAAAAAAGAGGGCATTTACATCACGTGGTGGAATCTGTTTCGATTTTTATGTATTTGCAAATCTAACACTTAAATTTGTATCTTTTACATTTATGCCATTTCATATCTCGTAAAGAAAGAGAGAGACTAGTTTTCAAAGAGAACTCCGCTCGGACCTTTTTTTTCTAAAGAGAGAAGGAATATAAAATTTCATGCGTTATAAGGCTATGCATGTCAGCATTGTCTTGATGAAAATATCAACGTAGAGATGAACAAATGTATCAAGATGTAATGATGGTTTTTTCTAGTGACTCGTTTGTCCCGGACAAGTCTGACTACTATGACGGGTGAACTTAGCTCGAATACTTCGGAAGCCGTGCTCAACAAGACCATTTTGATAGGTGGGCTTAGCTCGATATGCTAATATGAGACTCGGATCAATAAATTCTGATAACGTACCATTTCACTTGTAAAAGCTAAAACAATATGAAAGAATTGGATGACATAAATTAAAAAAAAAAAGAGAGTAAAATTTAGATGTTAGATATATAAATATATAAGAGAGGGGTGGTTTGTACGCAAATGCATGGTGCATGGCTCGCCTAAGAAATATACGTATCTAAAGGTCAATTTCATTTTATTTATTTTAATTTCCTTAATTATTATTATTTTTAATTTCTGGGAACAAAATTTTGTGTGGCTTGTTTGCGGCTTCATTACATTTCCATATTTGTTAGGAATACATATATGCCCCTCAATTCTTATATATTTACATATAGAAAGCTTCAACTGATTTTATATGAAGTGTAGTTTTTTCATGCATTTTTTTATTTTATTTTATAAAGTATTTAGCCTCTATATAACAACGGATATAGATTTAAGACAAAACATAAGAATATTAGTTAGTATTGTCTGTTGTGATTCTTAATTTCTCTTTTATAGTTGATAGTTCATCCTACATGTTAAGTTGAGGGAAAAAATTTGCGTACGATAGACGTACGCAGCGCTGCATGTGTTATTAGGGTTATACTGAGGGTACATGGGGGTTACATCCACGGTATAACCCCTTGTAAACCCCCTCCAACCTGTTGTTCTCTAAGGTGAAAGCAGCCTCTTCGTCAACTTATCATTTTTCTTGAAGTGCAGAGTATTAGAATAGTGAAAGAATATCAAGCAAAATTAAATAAGAAAATAAATACATCAAAGGTTGTAATCACAAGACAATGTTTTATATGATTTAAAGATATTAAGCCACTAACAAGATTTTATAAAAGTTGTTGACGATATTTCGCCGCTATGGCCTATGTGACTATCACTGACTTATGTGGCTCACACCTCACGAAGCTCCCAAATTTGGTCAGTGGCCTATGATTATTATTACAGGTCCAAAGTATAGCCTCTATGACCTATTATAAGAACGTTATTGTGACTCATCATTATGGCTTGTATGACCAACTATAAGCTACGCGGCTCTTAGCTCATGTAGCTCCCAACTTCGATCTGGCCAACAAACATTATTGTATCTCCCAACTTTGGTCTCTGTGGCATATGACTGTTATTCTAGCTCACAATTTCAGCCTCTATGGCATACAAATATTATTACAACTCTAAACCTGGTCTTTGTGAACTATGAATATTATTGTAATTCACCACTAAAACTTATGTAACAAACTACAACCTACATGACATACGTCTCATGCAGCTCCCAACGCAGGTATGGGTGACTTACGAACATTAGTGCAACTCCCTGCTATTATTGTCTGTGTGACCAACATCTGTTATTACAACCCTCCGCTATTAGCTCTGTGGCTATCTGAAGCTATTACTGCTCTCCAATACGGCCTTTTTGACTCAATAATACCCCTGAAGCTACTAACAATGGACAACTCCTACTACGATTTTCAACCATGGAATCCAAGGCAAGTTGAGGCTTTTACGACCACCAATAACTACATTTTTTTGTAAGCCAATCGTGGCTATTAAAGCTGGACCGCTATTGTATTTTTGCATTTTCATTTTCTTTATTTTAAGAGATAGTGAAATTATGTACTCACAATTACACAGTGAATTACTTCAACTTGGTCGGGCCCCGCGATATTTTCTCTCTCTAGGGTTTTCCACATAAAAAATGCAGCGTCTCCCCTGTTACTTTTCTTTTATTTGTCTGTATACTAGATTCTAGTGCAACGTTAAGGCACCAATTTATTACTCTACCGACACGAATTTTCTAGCACGCGAATATTTAACTAAGTTTTGGAAGAAGACTGCATTAAAGATTTTCTTTCATAGGTACAACGATAAAGATAAGAACAACAATTTTTCCATGTCAAAGGCTGATAAGAAACATAGCTTCCTGCCACTTCTGCATTTTCATTTTCTTTATCTTAAGAGAGAGTGAAACTATGTACTCACAATTACACAGTGAATTAATTCGACTTGATCGGGCCCCGCGATATTTTCTCTCTCTAGGGTTTTCCACATAAAAAATGCAGCGTCTCCCCTGTTACTTTTCTTTTATTTGTCTGTATACTAGATTCTAGTGCAACGTTAAGGCACCAATTTATACTCTACCGACGGGAATTTTCTAGCACGCGAATATTCAACTAAGTTTTGGAAGAAGACTGCATTAAAAATTTTCTTTCATAGGTACAAAGATAAAGATAAGAACAACAATTTTTCTATGTCAAAGGCTGATAAGAAACATAGCTTCCTGCCATAAAAAGGAGAACTACTCGTAGATTGCAGTAAGTTTTTCCTCTTCCTGTATCTACTATACTAAGAAAGCTTCTATTTCTCAATAGAAAGCTTAAAAATCTTCTTTCTCTTCCTCTTCATTTTTTTTTTTAAATTTTGGGGACAATTTAAAATATTGAAGTTATTTCCTTATATCATGCTTTTATATTTAAATAAGTTAGTAAAAGCTTTTATATCTAAATAAAAAATTCAATAATTTTTTTGAAGTATTCCATCAACTATAAATTTGTTTCTACAACTTCAATAACAAATGCTTTGTCATTTCACATGCCCAAATTTAATCAAATACAATCGAAAGTAAGAACATCAGTAAGAGACTTAACAACAACTTCCACTGATCATCAAAACATCAAATCATGATTCAATTCAAACCCTCCAAAACTCCCCCCAAACGACGAAAGATCAAAAGACTGATCGTCTCCCACCAGATCCATAGTCTCAAAACACGAAACATAGCTCCCATCCTCACCAAATTCTTGATGATCACTCATAGCCCTTAAATCTCCATTGTTAATTGTTTCTCTACTGTCAAAGCTACATGAATCCCATGTCAATCCATTAACTCCATCCGAGCTTTCTAACCCGAGTTGCCCATTTGAATTCTCTCCCAATATCCAATCTGCAAACATGACCTTTGGCCACAAATTCCTTTGTTTTTCTTGAGAGTGGATCGCATGGCTTTGTGATGATGATTCCAAGGGCTCGAATGAGTCAAAGAATGAAATCTTTTTGAGATTTCCTTCTCTATTCTTATGGTTTTCAGATGATGAGTCTGCTGCAGAGTTCTCTGTAAGCTTGGCAGAATCTGATTCTTTTGATAGTTTCACTCTTTTCTTGAGATAAGTGTTCCAGTAGTTCTTAACTTCATTATCAGTTCTTCCGGGGAGATGCATTGCTATTTGTGACCACCTGAGAAAATTATTTGTTAGTTATAATGTTGCATAAAATTATATATATATATATATATATTCTTTCTTTTTGTGCTTGAATTCTAGTGAAGATGTAATAGACAACATTTACTCGCACCAAGTTATCTTTTACACAAATAGGAGAACATACATAAATTTGTCTTCTATTTTTTTATTTTTGGAGCAATTACATACAGACCACATGAAACTTGCTATTTACAAATCAACCACTCCCTCTCATTCAATTTTCAAATTCTCACTCACATATCAAATACTCAATAGTTTGATCGTGGCACGCGTAAATAAATCAAATTCTCAATAGTTTGATCGTGTAAATTACTTGGGTGTTTAATTTGTAAATATCAATACTTTGGGTGGTTTGCATGTAATTATCTCTTTATTTTTTCATATATTTACCAAAGTTGTGAAAATCAGACCGGGCATTGAACCTGAATAAAGTAAAAATTCAAGGTTCAACTGTTCAATCACGGTTGAACCAAATAGCATCATAAATATTTAAATTATTTAAATATAATTTAAATAATTTAAATATTTGAATACTGCTACATTAATATCATACTAAAATAAATTGAAATATTTGAATAAATCGGTTCTTTAAAAATCAGACTGGTTCGCCGTTTCTCCAGTTCAACCCCGGTCATGACCGGTTCAATTCTGTTTCTATGCAAAAACGGTTTTAAGCTTAGACCGAATTGGTTGAATGACCGGTTCACGATTGAACGGTTGATTCGGTCAATCCGGTATGATTTTTAAAACCATGATATTTACTAACAAATATACAATTAGTTTCTAACAATGTTACGAGCCATTATTCTGTGCGGGCAGGCTGTCCGCAAGTTGTGTCCGCTTTCCAATAAGAATTTAAAAAAATAATAATAAAAATTGGGGCCCACTGACATACACTTTTGATAGGGAGAGTATTTTGATTGGTTCACCACATGCATTTCTGCGTACGTACGTAATAACTTTTCATTATTATGACACAACATTTCAAAATGCGTTATTTAATTCTCGACCAAATAGAGATAAATAAGCTGAGGAACCACTCACTTGTTTCCTAGCATAGTGTGAAGCTTCATAGCCAACTCTTCTTCTTCTTGAGAGAACCTTCCCCGCTTTATTCCAGGCCTCAAGTAGTTAATCCACCTTAGCCTACAACTCTTTCCATTTCTTTCCAGGCCTACACAAAAAAATAAATAAATAAAATAAAATAATAAAATAATCAATAAATAAATGCAAATATTTCATTAACTATTATTTGGAGCACATTTTATAAATTTTCATTCTTCATTCATCCTTATTTAGTTATATTTTATGTTAATTTTATTTTACATATTTATTTATAAACTTAATTCCAAGTTATTTAAGGTCTATTTTTTCTTCTTAAACTCAATTACTTTTATCTACTCATTTTATTAGGATGAATGGACAGACAATCAAAATTAGAAGATAAATATTCAAAATTAATTAGACATTATTTAAATAGCAATAAAATCAACACCCTAAATGAAATTTAGATAAGTATTTATTTTTAATTTCTCTTTTTTATTTTTATAAATGTAGCATGATTTCTAATATTTATCTTCCAATCCTGTTTGGGACAGCTTATTTGGTGCGGTGGCGTTTTGAAAACGCATCTGGCCTGTTTGGGTAAATTGCGTTTTGACAGCTTATGCATTTTCAAAACACAGAAAATAACGTTTTTACACTGCACCTATCTAGGTACGGTGGGAGCTTATTGGCAATGGTCTAACTTTTCAAAAAAAAATAAAAATTTATAATAGTCACCGCTCCTAACTTATCAGCAGATTGTTCAATAAGCTACAGCTGCCCCAAACAGACCCTTAATCTCCTGCCTTCCTATATTAATATATACTAAAATTTATGAATATTTGCACACATTATATTTCCTTTTTAAATTTATGAATTTTCACTCTTATAAATGGATAATATATTTTAGAGAACTTGGTAAGGGAATATTTGGTGATGGTTGGGTCCCACCACTATCTTAGAGTAGATAGAGAAATGTTGAAAAAGAATCATCCAAATGATCAACATGAAAAAAAAACAAAAGTCAATGGCATGTGAAATCCTAAACTTGCATAATTCAAATTATTATTATTATTTATTACTAAAAAAATTTTACTATTTCTAATATATTGAAAGTGAAATACATTTATATTCATATACATAGATAACATATGTAAATACCTAAGAATTCCTAGGCATATGCAAATGTTCTTTAAATTTTAAGGTCATATTACCTAGGTATATATGCAAATGTTCTTTAAATTTTAAGGTCATATTAGTAAGACCATGATATGAAGCATCCTGATAAAAAATATAGAAGCAAATGGAAGCCAAGATGCACTCCAAAAACCAAATTAACAACTAAAACCTCATTTCAGAAGAATCAAATTCTGTCATTAGTATGCATTTTGTATAAAATTCTAACAAAAATCAATTTCTGAATGAAACTCACCAGCTTTAACAGGAACTTCAGTCCAGCATCCATGGCCATGCCTTACAATGTAGTTCTTCAGCCTCTCATCTTCTTCAGGAGACCACAATCCTTTCTTGCACTTCATCTTTGCCTTCTGATCAGTTCTCATCTCTAACCTTACAGAAAACTGAAAGTGTTCTGAAATTTCTGAAGAAAGGAGTTCAGATTTTAAAGGAGGATTGCATGTGTGTGTGCAGAAGTAAAATTAAATAAATATTCTGATTTAAGAATATCAAAGTTAATAGATATAATTATTTAAGTCACCTAACCATAATGAGAGTTTCTGTACTAATCACCAGTAATATAATGACATCTCCTATGTTTTCATTTTATGAATTCAACAAAACCAGAGAAGAATATGTGGCTTTTCCTGCAGCACAGTTGTCATTTTATTTTTGTATATATTTCTAGAAGCATAATTTTTTTTAAGGAAGATAAAATATGGAAGTCTTTGGAACCAGTTATATTCCGGTCATGCACCTACTGCTATATTTTAATATCAGAAGGCTTTATTAAATGGTTTAGAATGTCAAAGATAACCTTCATTTGTGCACTGCAAAGGAAATGTTTGCATCCAGCTAATCTCAGTACAAACTATTATTATTGTTATGATTGCTATTATTATTTTGTTGTTCATGGAAGGAAGGAACAAAAATGAATATCTCAGTTCAATTTTATAATGTAATATAAAAGGAAAACATGTTAAAAGAAGAGTGAGAAAGGGAGAAAGAGATCCCCTTTTATCATCTTTTTCATTCATCTATGCATGAGCTAGAAAATGATATAAAATAGTTAAATTAGTAGGGCATCCATGATTGTGTTGCTGACTTCTCTCTGACTCTTCTCTTGAATATGAGGCATTGTCGACTATTGTCCGATATTGTCGATGCGGCGGCCACCCCCAATGCTTGGGCGATGAGATTGAATCCTCAGGGTTGAGCCACACCTTTAATGAGAGATTGACTGGTGTCCTGGTTGGTCACGATGACTTTCACGAAAAGCTTCCTCCACAAAGATAGGTATAAATCATCCCTGTGAGGAAGATCCCGGTGAGGAAGATCCCTGTGAGGAGGATGGCGATAAGCCATCCAACTTCTTCGATTAAAAGCAGACTCAACTACTTTCACTAGTGGGCTCGTTTCAATCATTTTGAAAGGTGGGTTCGATTACGTGAGATAAAAATCAATTAAAATTGGTGCATATTTGTATTTGTGTATACCATAGCGCGCAATTCTTGTGTGTCTATATATATATATTAATGCTTTGTTGTGATAAAAAGGCGAATTTCACTTCTAAAAAATATTAATGATGTTTTTCATGCATGCTACATACTTTAGCATGATGACTGTAAATATGAAAGCTTAGCTGCTAAATATATATGTGAAAGCATAAAAATAGTGTGCTGCATGACGTATGTAAATGCCCCACAAACAAGCTTTCAGCAAGTCAAACATAAACTTATGAAGTTCTGTATATGTCAAGCTTAAATATCATGATTATATATTTTATTTACATTGTATGACGAATAAAATAAATAAAAATTATTGAAAGAGCTGTTCATGAACATGGAGCTGAGTAATCACCTCCCGAGTCAGCAGCAGTATTGCTTCTCTGAAGTTCAAGCTTGAGTTCAGCATATAATAAACATTTTGCTGAAAAACTGCTCGGCATTGCATAAAAAAAAATGTGAACTTGGTGACTTGTTTCTATCAACAGAACTAATCATTTGAAAAATCATAATAATATAATTGATTGGGACATTAAATATTTGAGATAAGGTACAGTAATCATTTATTTCGTGGGCACTGAAGCAAGGTCTTAAGGCTTATGAATGATGCTTCTGTAGCGGTGCATAAGATTCAATGAATAATTATTAACAGGATGCCAATCATGTAGCCTCGCAGGTCTTCTTCAATGGAGTGGGAATATTCTTTGGTTCATATTGTCACTTAAGAAGTGGTATTTGCATACATACCACATCCATTTCCTTTATATTTGCATATTCTAGCATCTAAACTAATTTGCTTTTACATAGGTGTGTTTGGGGCAGCTTGTACATTTCAGGATAAGCAGCCTATCTTGAAACGCGCCCCGCGGGGTTCGACCTGCGGCCTGCGTTTAATGTAAAACGGGTACCGCGTTTTTGGATAAACGGACAAAACGTGCAAATTCAGGATAAGCAGCCTAACTTGAAACGCGCCCCGCGGGGTACGACCTGCGGCCTGCGTTTAATGTAAAACGGGTACTGCGTTTTTGGATAAACGGACAAAACGTGCAAATTCAAACGGTACCGCGACATTTTTTAAAAACGCCCCCGCACTTATAAGCTGCCCCAAAAGGGTTCTAAAATTTTCATAGCCCCAAACGGGTTCTAAAATTTTCATATCACACCAAAAAAATATCTACTACCATTTTAACTTTTAAAAATTGAAGTACTTACGCATAGACATGAAGACATGTTGTAAAATTTGAAGTTTGGGAGTTGGATATGTAAATATAGAGGAATTGAGTGACATTTATGCAAATCTTCCTTAAAATTTTGATAAATTAGTTATAAGAATAAAACAAAGTTTGTAAGTAGTGTATATATTATTCCTTCTTACTTTCAATGCCAATTCCTGTCCCCCAAGATAAGTGAATAATTAAGATAAATTAAGGAATTAGATATCACCACATTATTAATCTGTTTAATATAATAACAAAATAATTGGAAGTTTCTCTATTTGGATCATCTTAAGTTTAATTCTTATTAATTATTGTGAATAGATTTCTTGTAAGTATGTGTTTATGTTTGTGCTAGAGACTATGATTAGTTGGATTTTTCATTAATATATATTTTTTATTTATATATTCTCCTATAAGTATACTTTAATTAGTTAGGTAGCTTAGAAATTTGACTTATATGCCTCATAGTATATGAAATTGGCCAAATATACTCAATGCTTGATTTCTTAGGGATATGCTTGAATTTTATATTTAGACTAACATGCCTTTAATATATAAAAATATAATCATAAGCCTCTAGTGTAAAAACATGCAAATTTTGGAACAATAGTGATGTTTAATTAACATTTCTCTTCCCAACACCTATTATAAGTGTTAAGTGCTAAAACAACTACATGGGACATGAGCAAAGAAATTCTATTGTCTTGTATTACAAACATTATTGTGATTGCACATTTTGATATATCAAAGTTATTGTTTATCATGCACTAAAATATTATGATTATATTATCTTATATTAAAATTAGAGGCAGTTGTGTAATAATTGTCGCAATTATGTTCAAACATATCAAATTGCAATCTATTGTGATATAATTGTTTTTATTGTGTTCTCTTATATCAAAGTTATATTATGTTGTAGTATAATTATTGTGATTGTATATTAGCATTGTATGGCTTGTCCCGTCAGAGTTTGCTTCAAGTAATTTTGGGGTAAGGTTTGGGCATAGCTCCAACATGGTTTAATGTTTGAATATTCATAAAACCTTGTTCAAATTTGATTTTATTTCGAATGTCTTGCTTAGAAATTTTGAAATTTCATAAACTAACATATCATCACAATACATGTATTGCATGAATTGTTAACATGAATATATTAAATAGAAGAGCTAATTCATTTATGAATAGTAAGCAATAGTATAGAAGTTATGGCAAACTCAAGCCCACCTTGTGTTACAATTAAGATTAAGCATTGCTTGGAGTCTAAATAAGCTAACTGCTTGCTCAATCAAATGAATAAAAAGCTTATTATCATTATTTTGGTTATATTAGACTGCATGTAGTTATTACCCCCTTTAACATTGGAAGACCTATATATATTATGCGGTGGTTAAAGAAGAAACTTCTAAACATCATAAAAAATATTTGAACTTAGTTTAAATATGATCAAAACTTGTTCCTACCATATTTGAATAATGCTTAAACATGATTCAAACCATCCTTCTTGTGGCTTTACCCTAACCCTCCTAAATATGTTGAAGCAGGGCATATTTATAAAGCTTTAGAAGGAGGTATACTAGTCATTTTGATCAATATTAAAGTACTCTATAGAGTGTTGGGCATTGATTCTCATATGATCATACTCTATTTTAGACATTTAAGTGCTAACTGTTGATTTAACTTTAAACCGTTCCCTTAAATTGTATTGATTCTCTTAATTGATATCGAAATATCATAAGTTGTACACTTTTTAGACGATGCTCTTATGACTGTTGTAAGCATATTAAAAGTTATATTGATATGTAAACGGTATAGTTAGACACATAGTGAATGTTTAGAATCACATTAAATGATCATGTTAGATAGTACAAACCACAAAATGCTCTTATATTTTTTTTACACAGTTTAATTGACATTCATATTTTCTCATTATTCATTGAATTATATATGTGTATGAGTATTCACTAGCTTTGTTTAGCTAACTATTATTATAAACTGATATTTCAAGTTAAATTAACAGATTAAAACATGAGCAATAGAAGATATAATGCTTATACTTATAGAAGACACAAATAATTTAATTGTTTTACTTTACTCCATCTTATTTTGTGGCTCTTTCACAAATTAAAATGTCAGTTAAATAATAATTTAATTTCTATCATTCGACCGTGTGTACCGTCGTGATTAATTCCAAGTCCCCGGCCAGGTCATGACATTAATGATATCACTATAGTATGCAACTTGTTAGAAAAACTCACAATAAATACAAAAGTAATACATGAAAAATTTTTAAAAAAGAAAAAAATTAGAACTTGACCCAATTAAAATAATAATATAATATGCATAAAAATAAAAATATAAACTCATAATAGATGCAATATAATATTTGGGTTAATAATATTATAAAAATATTGATGAATGATAAGTGTCAATGCTAGCCATCAGCATTAGCTAATGGTGGGAGCAAAGAGATGTGGAGATTGATATCTAATCATGATGGTCAGGTGATTAGGATCACATATTGTGGTTAAACTATAGTAAATGGACAATGTCAGCTCTCTCCAATTTTAGTTTCATATCATCTATAGAATGAATTTCTATTTTTTAATTTTTAAATAAAAATTAGTTATTTTGGCCAAAATCTTATACATTTATGTTGATGACTTGAAATAATGCCCCTTAATCATCTGATATTTTTCGAATATTTGATGTCTTGATTCCATCATAATGAGATACTTTTGATTCCATTGGATTTGTTGCATCAAGATGCATGTTTCGATTATAAATTTGATTAATAATGAATTCAAATTGTTTAAAATTGATTTAAAAGTTTTAATTCAAATTGCATCGAGATCTATACTTGATTGGAAGAAATTATTGAATATGCAACAAATGAAAAAATAATAATTTTCTTAAATTTCATTCCACCTTTATCACAATCTTAATTTTTTTGTCTTGTGGTGTTTATTTGGGCTCATTGCTTTCGTTCTTTTTGTTGGCATTTTTTGAAAAAATACGACAAAATAGACGAACAATTTAACAAAAACGCGGACAACTTTCATAAGGTAGTCTTCGCTTGATAGCCCAAGAATGTATGTCCGAAACTAGATCGAATCGTAACCCCTTCAAGTTTTTGTGCTTGTTCTGGGTCAAGAGCAGCTCCCAAAGAAACTTATCCCTTTAGTTAATTACATCTTAAGAGATACCTAAGAGTACTTTTGATAAGAATAATCTTGCTTACATAATTCTTGATCCGATTATTTAGAAAACCAAAGGATTTTTAACATCTCAAGCGGGAGAATCTCAATGTTTTTGATACATACCGGACCATAAGACAGGAGGCGAATCATTGTAACCACAATGGGCAACGACACCTAGCCATGCAAAGCCCACGAGACGATATCAACAAATTTTTCAATGGAATGATGGGGCTCAAAAGGAGGTGTCAACAGGAAAGGGGAGGAATCTCTAAATAGGTAGATGTATCTAAGACAAGATATCACAGACTCGTTATCCCGAGCTATAAGGACCCTAGGTCTACCTGGTTGTGAAGATAGTCTACCCAACATAGTCAGAGACTCCTTATCAGCAATCTGCGAATTATATCGTCCAAGGAAATCTTGATAGCCCTACGGTAAGATGAAAGGAACCTCTAATTTTCTACCACTCTCTAATGGGTAGAATAGGTAAAAGTGGGACTTATACTCGTCAATTTGATAACGAAGATGCCACTAGAAAGTAGAAGAGAAGAGGGGTCCGACTACATAGTTGGAAATACTTCATAAATGACTTACGCCCCCGTCTGGGTTGGGGAGCCTCTAACACTCTAGTCGTACTAGACAACCTTCTATGTAGAAATCATATGCTTGGCTTAGTCAATTAAAGGAGCATGGGGACTCCCTGTTAAGACATGCATGATGATACAATTATATCTTGCAAATTAATTTAAATGTACGGCTCTATTAGGATGACTTAGGATATGACCATGTTATGTAACTTGTTTAAAACGAGCCCAAAGGGCATGCACAATAGTAAGAGTATAAAGTAAATTGTTGATTTTAAAGTTGAAATATTTTAATCGTAAGTTTTAAATTTTATTATGAATCTTTAATTATTGGGATTTTGAAAAAAAACATTTTTGGCCCTTAAAGAGCATATGTTACATTTTTGTATAAGCCAAGACAATTCACAATCAAAGAAAGCAATAAAAAAGCAAGTGCAATGCACAATGTAAATAAAAGCAAGCTAAGCAAAATATCTAACAGGTCGACGCTGCTAGGTTAGCAACATATCATAGGAAAGCAGGAAATGCGGACGGACTCCGCGTATACATGTTTGGAGTGCCCGATGGAGAATTTTCATGATTCGTAAGCTACGAGGGACTCCATATGATTAAAATGTAGTGTCAAAACTTAAAAATTAGCATTTTGATCAGCCATTCATCGGGGAAATCACTGTCAATGGTCGCCCTAAGCAATAACGCGGGCAGGGCGTCAAGAACCCTGATTTTTCCGGTGCGTGCACAGTAAGACTCCACATCTTCCCTTGGCCGCAGGAGGCTTTAGACGAACATGCGACAACTTTTAAAGACTAGAATGGGCACCAAATATGTCTCGTGTCTTAAATTAGCCCCTTCGATGGTGAGTTCTCCTGGGTAAGGTTAAATCACTGCCAACTCTAGCTCCATGCCTTGAGCAAGAGCTAGAGAGTCCCGAATGGGTGACTTAAGCTACATGATGCTACAGACAAACCGTAAACTATCTCGAGTCATGCAGGTTGACTCCCTACACTCGTGACATAAAAAAGCAATGACAACCCCCAGATTTTTGGAGGATATGTAGGGACAAATGTAAGCTCGCCCACATCCGAGTCAACATCTAGGCTTCGCTATATTAGACGAAAATTACCTCCCAGGGACGGGTATGAACCAAACGGTCTGGAACTCAATTTTGTGCTCGGATATCCATAGAAAGTTATCACTGATCTGGAAGCTATGAAAAGTCATGTATCACTAAAATATGACCCCGTATCTTAAGAATGAGCATTTTAAAGGTTTTAATCTAGAGATTTGAGTGTCGGCGTGCATCTCGGGCCCTCGTGCGAATGGGTTGGTTTGAAACCAAACTTTCTTAAAATGCGCGTGGAAGATTTTTAGGACTTCCCTTGGCCACGGAAGGATCCAAATGGATGGGGAATGACCTCTAAACATCACAATGATCAATAAATGTATGTTGTATCAATAATGATGCCTCCCAACGATGAGCTTTCCAGAGTAGGGCTAAATCAATATCAATCCCGATTCAGAGCTCTAGGCAACTACCAAGAGGTCCTATCAGATTTCTTAGACTATGGGAGATCGAGCAAAGTTTCATATCATTCAAGCAGACATCCCTTGTACGTGACATCAAAAATTGATGTCAACACTCATCATTTTCATAACTCAATATTACGTTGCCTCAACTATTTATGACCCTAAATCAACAATTACTTATTGGTGAGCCATGTGACCTATTTGAAGGAGTATGAATTCACTTTATCAATCCTTGGCTTCAAAATTAAGCCGTTCCATAATTTTCTTATCCTGATTTATGTGAGGCCTTATTAAATAATTTTGAATGGCTTCAAAATTAAGTCATTCTATCATTCGATAAGGAAGTTTTAATCAAGTTGAGCCAATTGAGTGGCAAATATATGGGAGTTCTACGAAGATCTATTGATTTTGATTCTTAAGAAATTGTTGCATCATGTCCCCCGTCTTTTTGAAATTATCAATATAAGTAAAATTAGTTATTGATTTCATTATTTTGAATTAACTTAATATTTGTGTCTTGCATTAAAATAATTTCTTAATCATATCTAATTTTTGCAATTACAATATAATATATATATATATATATATATGTTGGATTCTAAATTGTCTAGTGGTTCACGCCCAAGGAATAGAACGTCAATCAAATGAAAGGAAAAAGAGAATTTTTTCATAGTCCCCCTTGTGAAAACGACATTCCTATTTATATATATCATAAGAAGGGTATAACAAATTACATGGTTGTCCCTTATTTAACAGGGATATTATCATAATTTATGAGTCATTATATCTTTACACATATGAAATTACCCGTGTAACAGTTATTGGCAATGTTTCATATCTGTAATTATCCTTAGCACCGCTTTGTATCCGTAAGTGTCTGGCTTAGTCAATTGGTATTCCGTATTCGTTCAGTCGGCCAAGAGTCATTCCACCGACTGAATAATCTTCGATCATGTTTTTTGAGAGGATTTATTGCGAAGACACATTGCCCTTTAAAAAAAATTATTCCATCAAGTAGATGATATATTATCATAATCTAACATGTAACTAACATTTGGTTAATGTGTCTATATTAAAGAAATTTCCTCAGGACGACTGATGATTTTTCTAATGACAAATGCTGATTCCGTAGTCGTTGACGTAGTCACGCGGTGTTCGTTGGGTCGATCGGTCTTTCGTTCGTTGGTCTTTATAGGCCGGCTGCTATAACGACGAATGTTCGCACATCAATCCTCTTCATGTGATCCATCGTTTCTTCTTGAGATTCATGCATACATATTTCGATGTACAATATGATTTTATCAAATAATATATATTTTTTTTACTTAGGAAAATAGAAAAACATAAAATGTGGTCAACAATTCAAAAAACAACTAACATATATGATGTTATAACCATAAAAGAGGAGCAATTTAACCATGATATATGAAATTAGAGCAAGATGTGTTCCTTATTTTCTTGGAGAAATATGCGTTGAAATTTATTTTTGATAAAATTACCCCCATCTTCTATACCCAATGCATATTAAAGTTCATCATGAATAAAACTTGATTTGAATTAATTTTTTTACTGAAAATCAATATTAAAAATAAGTCTCTATTTTCTTAAAAAAAAAATTATATAACTAAAAGGTCAGCAACCGGTTCACATATTGAGTTCAATGCCTCCGGGTTCCGGCTCAACCCGGTCGGCCTTCCCTCATCGGCCGGCGCCGCGCGCAGGTCATCTACAACACGACTTCCTCCCAGGCGACGCCGGTCGTCGGAGGGGATTGGATGTCCTTTGCATCCTCACAAATCGAGCGGCGAATTCCTAACCTACTCCGTCACTGCACCTTCGAACAGCTCAAACAAATCCATGGCTTTCTCCTCTCCTCCTCCCTCGCTCGACACCCCGCGCTCCCTTCCCTCTGCATCCGCCGCGCCGCCGAGCTCGGAGAAACGGAGCACGCAGAGCTCATTTTCTTCAGCGGAGATCCTCCTCATATTCTCCATTGGAACGCGTTGATCCGTGGCTGCTTCCAATCCGGCCATTATAAGAAAGCTCTCAACTTGTTTGATTGGATGTCTCAGAGAGGCCAGACGCCGAATGAGTTCACTTATTCAGACGTCTTTGCTTCATGCGGCGCTCTGGAAGAGTATGGGATGGGGAAGAAGGCTCATTGCCGTTCTATGAAGGATGGGTTTGATCTGATTCCTTTGGTTGCTATCTCGCTTTTCAATCTCTATGCAGAAAGCAGCAGTCTTGCTGACGCAAAGAAGATTTTTGATGGTTTTTTAATGAAATCTGTGGGTTTGTGGAACAAGATGATGTCTTTCTATGTCAGAATTGGAGATATTCTGTCAGCAAGAAAACTGTTTGACGAAATGGCGGTTAAAGATACGGTATCTTGGAACACGATGCTTTCAGGCTGTGTGAGAGTGAAGCAGGTGGAGAGGGCAAAGAATTTGTTTCAGAAAATGCCGGAAAGGAATGTTTTTTCTTATACAGTAATGGTGGGAGCTTTGGCTGATGCAGGAGATCTCATAGGAGCCAGAAGACTGTTTGATGAAATTCCTGAAGGAAATGTGGCGTCTTGGAATTGCATGCTATCAGCTTACACACAGAGTGGGAGGTTTAAGCAGGCATTGGATCTCTTCCTTCAGATGCAATCAATAGTCATTCAACCAGATGGATTCACCTTCGTCTCAGCTTTATCAGCTTGTGCTCATCTGGGAGATTTGAAAACTGGTAAATGGATTCATCTCCATCTAATACAAAACTGGCTAACCTTTGGAGCCATTGTTGGCACTGCACTTATGGAAATGTACGCCAAATGTGGGGATATAGACTCTGCATTCAGAGTCTTCATCAAAACATCAAAGAAAGATGTGTTTTGCTGGAACGTGATGATTAAATCCCTCGCGACGCACGGGAGGGCGAACGCTGCGTTGCAGCTTTTTGCTTCCATGCGGAACGAGAAACTCCAGCTCAATGACTTTACCTTAATGGGCGTGCTCTTCGCTTGCAGTCATGGAGGTTTGGTTGAGGATGGCCGTAGAATCTTTGAATCCATGGAAAGGGAGCTTAAGATGAAACCGAGGATGGAGCATTATGGTTGTTTGATTGATTTGCTCTGTCGTGCAGGGCGGGTTGAAGAAGCTTATGAGATGGTGAAGCAGATGCCTCACAAGCCTGACGTTTTGGTGTGGGGAGCTTTGCTTGGAGGTTGCAGAGAAGGAAATGAGACTGCTTTGGCGGAGAAAGTTATGAAAAGGATTGATGAGGTTGATGGTAATGGAAGTGGAGCTTATGCCAAATATGTATGCGGCTTCGAGTCAGTGGGGTGAGGCGCAAAGAGCCAGAGAGAAGATGAAAGAGAGAAGGATTTGGAAGACTGCTGGTTGCAGTATTCTTTTTGATGCTTCTGCTGTTTAGATAAGTCTTCTCTTTTTCGGAAAAATAAACTTCTGCTTTCTCCATTGATCTTATTATTTGTTCTGAAATAAGTGGATTCTGCAATGGTTTTTGTCATTGAAGCAGGAGAGTTCTGAAATGTAGAATTATGAAGCCTCAAAATCATTTTTGTCATTGGCTAAGTAACTCTCAGTTCCTATGTATTTACATATTTAACACCTAAACTTCTTATTTTACATACATGCTGCCTTAACTATGCATAAAATGGTTAATTTCATTTTCTTCGAAAGTTAAGGTGGTGGTATTTTTATGTGATTTGAATTTGGTTGGTATAAATGTGAGAAGTAAAGTTTAGTGTTAGAATCTCCTGGTCAAAAAGCATTTTAGCCCCCTTTTTTTTTCTTGTTGTAAGCTTCTTGTAGGATATTTTTATTTTGGCAATAAATGTGGTGAAGTAGCTAGAGCTTAATTCTGCAAGGTAATTTTAATTGACTTGAGTTCCAATTGGGTGCATTAGTACATTTATTTTGCATGAACTTGTTTCTTGAGTTTGTAGTCCTAATGTTTGTTCATGTTGTTGTGAGTTTCATTAAGTTGTCTACCTATGAAAGATTAAATCAGTAGCTGAAGAATTTAGTTCTAACATCGTTGTTCATAGATATGTTATTTTGTGGAGTCTGATTGTGTTAATCAAGTATTCACTCATAGCCATCAGTTGCGCCGATCAAACTTAGTAGTGAGTTTGCTGGTAAAGTACTGGGGGGTGTTCAAATTTTTTTTTTTTATACCTAGCACCGCAGCGCCCAATCCATGTTTTAGAATTCGAGAGCATGACACTCCAAAGCTTGGAGGAGAGCGCTGCAGCTCCTCAGAGCTAAGACCAACATCTCTGCAGCGCCCAATCTAGATTTACAACTCAAGAGCGTGATAATGCAGCGCTGCAATACCATATCGTGGCACCCCAACTCCCGCAACTAAATTTTAGTCGTGTTCTCCGATTAAAATTTTGGTTTTGCCATGCGGTTTTGATTTCTCTTTGCTAAGGAGAGGAGAGGAGTGTCTTGAAGTGTTCCAAAGTTTGGAGAGACTTAAGTGTGGTGTAATTTGTACCTCATTTTATTGATAATGGATCTCTTAGTGTGGTTTGGCTCTGTGATTCTTTCCCGTTCTCACTTCTCAAGTTTTTCACGTTAAATCTTGTTTGATTCATGTTTTATGTGTTTTTTGTTTTGTGCATTTATGTTCGAAATTTAGCTTTGTGTCTCTCGAATTTATACTCCCCTCTCCAACAAGAAACTGTTGAAATTTTAGAAGTTCAAATATCTCCGCAACTGAGCTGTGAATGTCAAGCTAAAAAGGTTTTGTTTGATATTGATTTTTCTAATGAATTAATAGAAAAGTTTGGCCAGATATGTTTGCGTTCAAATTCATTTTTAATATAAATATTTATGATTAGTAAGTGCATCTATGTTCGAAATTTAGCTTTGTGTCTCTCGAATTTATACCCCTCTCTTCAACAAGAAACTGTTGAAATTTTAGGAGTTAAAATATCTCCGCAACTGAGCTGTGAATATCAAGCTAAAAAGTTTTTGTTTGATATTGATTTTTCTAATGAATTAAAAGAAAAGTTTGGCGAGATATGCTTGCGTTTAAATTCATTTTTAATATAAATATTTATGATTAGTAATCCTGTATCAATGTAATTTTTACTTCTTTGGCATGAGATTATACTTACACTCTCACGTGTCTTAATGATGATAATGATTGATTAATGCCTAATTAGGTAAGTTAAACTAATAGATTAATGAGTAGTTGCTACATAGTTTATTAAACTAATTAATTTCTTAATCGATTGCTTCCTGTAACATTTTCTTTCGTTTTTTTTAAATATGAATTGGCAATTAATTAGCATCATTATCATTAATCATTCTATGACTTTATTATTCTAACATTTTTAAAGACTAATTTGCATATTCAGCAATGCTAATTTTATATCTCAATTATTAATTAAAGCTTACCTAATTTGGCATAGTATTCTTCTTAATAATAAATTATATAATGATTATTATATTAATCTTTCTTAATCATTCATTCACAACTATTAATCCAAGCCATCCCTAATTGACTTAACTTATTGGATAAGCTTGTAAGCTTAAATATTAGTTAATGTTAACTTCACTCAAATGTGTTAGCTTAATTAATCTATTGCTAGTTATTCTCATTAACTATCATAGTTATGCTATTATTTCTAATTAATTTAATTAATCTCTAGTTAATTGATTTGTGTATTAATTTTATATTAACTTCCAAGTAATCCTGCAATTATGCTGTAGACTAATAACAATACTAAACAATAGAAACTATGCAAATGTTTATTTATGATATAATCCACAGGACAGATTGATTATGTTGTTAATTTAAAAGCTGTAATTGATTATAGAAAATGTTCATAGGTTTTTTTTGTGTGTGATTTTCTTAAGAATCATTAGCCAGCGCTTGGCACTCCAATCAAACAACGTCTAGAAATTCATTTATTTTAGATCATAAGAATACAAGGTCATCATTCATTTTTCATTTGTTTTAGTTCTTATATTGGGTTATAATGTCCGGTGAACATTAAGAATTAGATCAATTCCGTTACAATAAATGTTTTTCTTATTTATAGAGGTTCTAGTGTAACAAACAAAATGACATTTCTACCCCTTATATGGATGGAGCTCATAAAGATCTGTGGGTGGTTAATCAACATCTAGTTGTCTTTTGTCACCGTCGACTTTGCTCGGTCGGACATACTCAAAAGGTCCATCTTGAGTTGGATATTTAACCTCTGTGGGGGGCAGTTCCATCTGAAGATGCTTATGAGGCTGACTCTTTCATTGAGTTGACTTGCATGCGGGGTAAATTCATATATCATTTCGGTATCCCTTATTGTGGGTTAAATATTGAGGGTTTGAACATCATTTTGATGAATATTTAGATGGGTTGACTTGTCGATACTGAATAGTCATCTTTAATCACCTTTTGGCTCAGTTGTCTCGGCTGCTCTTACGGCCTCCTTGCAAAGGGTCTTCTTTTATCGTACTTCCTTCCACTGTGCCTTTGGATTCTTGTGAGATCAACACTGACACATTTGTGATATACATATTTTAGTTCCTTGATTATCTTGTTTCTTGAAAGTGATGTTACAACAAGGATGAGAGAATTAAATGCAAAAGGTAAATCATTTAATTTTATTTAACAACTAAATATTTTGACTCCTTTCATTTGGGAGCTCCTGATTTCAATAAATAAGGTGATGGGATGCATTTCCATATCTACTTCATTTCGCGCCCTTCGCCGTTCAGACAGCTCACCTCTCATGCCTTTGTTTGATTTTGTCATGGACAAGCTCACAAAGTCTCTGGTCGGCGTTCCCTCAAAAAATCTAATTTGCTCCGTGTTTGTCAAGGCAAAAGAATGGAATCGTCCAGAAGGGTAGAGAAAGAGATCTATAGTGAAGAAAAGACATTCCAAGCCGAATCGGGTGGGCTTGCCTGATTTAATCCTAGCACCATAATGAAAGATGTGCGACCGACTGACATGTTCTTAAATTTTGTATAAAATGTTTGTAAATGTTTGCATTTCATATGAAGATGTTACGTTTTGAGGAATGTTTTTGTGTTGTTTTGTAGGTTGCAGCGAAAACTTGATCAAACGAGACTCAAAAAGATCAAAAAGTAGAAAATTGTGGTCTAGTGCCTAGGTCCAGGGCCAGTGGCACCTAGGCGCCAGTCCATGTCCAAGAGAGCAAAATTCTCTAGAACATAGAAAGTAGGTGCTGCCTCTGCAGTGCCTGTGTTACACACTGACGCTTAAAGACCGCAATACCAGTGCTTAGGCACCGGAAGATCAAAAATTCAAGCTAAGTGAGTGGCGCCTATGTGTCAAACACTGACCTTCTAGGCACCAGAACCCAAAATTGAGCAGTTTGAGCAGTTCAAACTTCAATTTGCTTGGGGAAAATATAAAAGGCACGAGCACAAAATCAGGAGGGGCCTCTTCACTATTTTTCTTTTGTCATTATTGAGAGAGGAATTGGAGGAAAAGGCCAAAGGTCTTGCAAAGAGATTAGAAGAGAGGAAAAGAGAGATATTGGGAAGGCTGAGAGAATTGATCTTTTGATATTAGTGTCATCTTCAAATTGCTTGTGAAGGACATAAGAATAATTACATTGTATTTTCTTCAGAACTTCTTTGTGAAGACTTCAATCTTGATGTTTATAAAAAGTAGTAAGTTTTTTTTTATGAGATTTGTCATGAATATTGAGTAGTCTACTTGTTTCTCTCTTAAATTGATATGGTGATTAGAAATGACTAAGAATTTCAGATTGTTTGGGGCTTTGATTGGAAATTAAAAGTTTTGTGTTAACTTGAGAACTTAATTTGCTTTCTACTTAGCCAATTGATTGTTAAAACCTTTCATGAATATTTAATATCCGAAAGGATTCTTTATGGAACGAAAGAGTTAATCACATGAACTCATTGAAATAGGGATATTGCCAATGGATTTATGCAATCTTCTAGGAGATATTTTCTTTTGAGCAGATCAAGAGTTGTAGTCAACTAAACTTAAGACTGTTAATCTTCCTTAGACCACCGGAAAGGGATAAAAAAGAATATTTTTCTGGATTGATAATTTTTTTGAATCTAATCCTTAGTTTATCCATCATTTGATCAATTAAAGAGAGAAACTCTTAACACCTGACTTTCTAAAAGAATCTTTTTGCTTGTTAGAATAGACCTGTTTTTCATAGCTTTAGGATAGGTTCTAAATTGAACTTGCAAATCAAACTTTTCAGCCTTGGATTGATAATTATAGGCTAGAAATTTTCTTAATAGCGTTCATCTCATTTCATGTGGGATCGACAATCATACTTCAACTTGATACTACTGATACACCATATATACTTGCATGAGCTGTCTCTGCTTCATAGCACTTGGTGAATGCTGATCCAATATTTCAACCACCTCTTACGACACATGACTCTGTTACCGGTTTGACCACTCAAGTGACTTCTTGGGGGCTTCCACCGCTTCCATCAGTGCTCCCTAATGAGCTTGCAATGTCTAAATTGATTTGGTTCCTAGGTATGAGAAAATTTTATTCTATTTTATGGCGTATGTTCTTCGAATTTCGGATTAAGTAATTGTGATGTAGATATTTCAATTCAACCAAATTTAAACAAGGCTCTAATTGGACGATTGAAAAGGGTAGAGTGTGTGGAGGGTGGGAGTTGTCGACTCTCCAATGAGAATGGTGGGGTTGACCTCCCTGACAATCCTCTACTTCTCTTTCAGGCTCGCGGTGAAAGTTGTAGAGGGGGTTCGGTCATCCCACAGATCGTTAGTTTATCGTCCGGATAAGATCGAAACTTCCCTCATTTGGATGGCCGATACTTAAGCGAGATGAGGAGATATTTGAATGACTGACTTGCATGTCTCGGCCAATGCGACGTCTCATTCCCTCGTAAAATAGTTTATCTCTGATTGATTTTGGGGACTCTATTGTAATTCTTAAGTACTATTCTGAAATAAAGATGTTTCTTTTTCTCATTATAATAGGTTTTCTTGTTCTTTGAGTTGTTATCCCTGTATTAAAGCTTATCACAATTTTCACTTACAAATTGGAGATCTAAAGGTCAATGAGGTCACATGAAAGTATAGTGCTTTGAATTGAGATGTCTCTCTTTCACAGATTATTTTTTCCCGGCTCTATTGAACTCATCCTTCTTAGCGTAAAATGATTCATTGGAGGTTTCTGCAACTCCAAATCTCTATGGGAAGTCTATGCACAACTCCTCTCTTCTTAGCATATAAACTTTGTTATTCTTGATTAATAACTATGTTATATTCAATCAATCAAATTCACGTTCCACATCCTCTCAAGTGTGGCGTGTGTATAATTGAGTGCCATTTGATCAAATTCAAGCTCAATATTCCAATGATGTGCTAATTCGTGCTGACAAACTCCTCACTCGGATATCTTGCCAAATTGAACAACTGAAGAGTAAGAGCTGCCAAATACAAGTTGCGGAGTACGAGCACCACCAGAGTACCAACTGTTAAGTACGAGCCACAATTCCGCTACCACAACCAGCTAACCCATTCACCAAGAAGGCTAGGTCCATCTCATTGACTAAGAAATTGACTCAGTTGAAAAGTGCAACTCACTCTAATATTGAATTGCTTAGTGATAAATTACTTTGATGATCAAGTAGATTGATGTGTGTGTATTGAAAATACAAATGATGTGTCTAAAATGTGTTAGAGAGGCATGGCACACATGCACGCATGTTTTGGAATGTATTAAACATTATATATTATTTTATAATACAATGTCGGTGCATCGTATATAAGAGCTTTTAAGAATGTTCTTCTACATACCACAAAATAGGGGAAATGTCAATATCATTATTGATTTTCTTTGAATTGAAAGGGGATGAAGAAGTTGAATGTCACCATCATTCAGATTTATTAGAGGACTGTATATGAATGATGAAGACAAGTCGCAATGACCGCGACCAACATCAATAAAAGTTCAAAGTTAATATGAATCATAATGATCGCAACCAGCATCAATAAAAGTTCAACGTTGATACGAAGGGACTTCAACTACATCGAAATAATTTTTTTTATAAGTGAAAGGCCTCAAAGCGATGAATAATGTTAACATTCATCACCGTACGACGATCAACAATAAGTGATGACTAAGACAATGGGGGTAGTATTGTCGTATTTAATGAGAAAAAGGGCTGCAAAGCAAAAAGGCATGAGAATATCATGGTGGGTATTAGTGGGAGGAAGAATGAAGATGAGCTAAAATAGGACATGCTCAATATTGCTTTGTATGATTTAGGATTCACACATTTACTCATTGAGAATGAGACAAAGACTCTATTGCATCACGAGGATTTCTCCTACTTTCTTATGTTAATATCATTTAAATTAAAAAATATATATAATAAAAACATTAAATTTTATTTATATTAACTTATAACTTTTTGTCGATTTGATATATCATGTATAAATATATGAATTTATTAGCTATTTTCATCTTACATTTATAAGAAAGATTTACATACATACCACTAAATTCATTTGTATTTATATATTCAGCACCTAAACTTTAAATTTTGCGCACATACCGCCTGTGTTTCAATTTTTGTAAGTCTGGCGGTATTTTTTGATGTGATATGAAAGATTTCCGTGGTATAAATGTAATAATTAAAGTTTAGGTGCTTGGTATGTAATTACATAAAAATTAGCTACAATCCAATTTATAAATAACTCAATTGATCGTGCACCACATTTAATAAAAGAAGGAGCAATTATATGCATATTACTCATATTCTAACAATTAATAAATTTAACATTTTGTATTTTTTTTTAGATTATCACTTAAATATTAAATTTTACATAGAGACCACCTGAAACTTGCTATTTACAAATCAATCACTCTCTTTCATTCATTTTCAAATTCTCACTCAAATATCAAAATTCATGGCAAAACCCCAACTCATATTTTTCATTTTTATCAAATTCTCCATACTTATTAGCACGAATAAATACATCAGTTTGATAGTTAAGAAAATCATTTGAGTGATTAATTTATAAATATAAATATTTAGGCTGATCCGTATAAAATTATGGCACGAATAAATACATCAGTTTGATAGTAAAGAAAATCATTTGAGTGATTAATTTATAAATATTGATGCGTGCTAGAAAATTCGCGGCGGTAGAGTAATGGATTATCGTCTTAGCGTTGCACGAAAATTCAATATGAATGCTGTTAATATCATAATTAAATTGAATTTCTTGCCTTAAAAAAAATTAAAAAGGTCGTTACATGGTTAGATGAAGACACATTGGGGTATCTTTTAAAAAATTTACATACGAAGGTATATTACGTCCGGACTTCGGATCCGGACAACGGCTGCGATCCACCAGAAGGAGCAAAGAAGAAAAAAAAGTCATCCAATCCATTATCAGTTATCCGGATGCAGCCTGTGTCAGGACTCTAAATATCTACGTCTGGACTTCAGATATAATATTTTTTTATTACAAAGATAACATTCAATTTTTATGGATTTATCAATCTCATACATAAATATTTTTTTTTACACACATAATATTTTACAGATAGATGAAAATATATATTTTATTTTTAAAATATGATAATAAGTGTTAGTTTTTATAAGAACTTAAGTGTGATAGATAAACAAATATGCAACTTTTGGACGATGTATGTTAAAGCCCCAACTTTGATCTGGTCTCAGCGGCAATCAGATAAACCACTGCAACACCCCAGCTCCGCTGCTCTCTGTCCACGTTTTCCATGAGCTGTGAACCATCGATCAAAATCCAGTGAAATTGATCACCAACATGGAAGGCCTCACAGCCTGCTGCATCGGAGTCCGCTTGCCGCTGCGAATCCACCCTCATTCCAGCCAAACCTGCTTCTTTTCTCGCCGCCGGCCATGTCGTCGTCTGCTTGTGTTCGCCTCTCGCGAAGGCCCGGAGTTTGATAAATGGGAACAGATGGAGCTCAAGTTCGGGAGGCTTCTTGGTGAAGATCCCAAGTTAACCCTTGCCAAGGTACTCAGAACTGAAATTAGGATATCTGTTAGTTCTATGTTTGATTTTAAGGGTTTCGTCGAATAAGTTGGTTGTTTATGAGATCGAAATTGTAATACTCGTCTAAGCGATGTCGCCAAGAACAAAACCTCGAGCTTTCAAATCAGTAATTCGGACATAGCAAGGGAGGTATAAGGGCGATGGAGAGCAAGATTTTTCTTATTTGGGTGAGTGATTCGCTAATGTGATGGGCAAATGAGTATTTATTGGATGATTGGTTCTCCATTTGTTGTTTTAGGAAAGTGAATTTTCATTTTTCTCATGTAGTTTTTCTTTCAAAGTAATGAAATCCCTACATCCCATTTATCAATTACTTCTTTTCTTTGAGATATGCCAATAATATTAGAGCAAGTTTAGTCATCTCTTGATTTAAGAACCTCTATAAGCATTGATCAACAATGATGAGTGAGGTGTTTTGTTAAATATCAAACTCTAAGGTTGAGTTTCTTCAATGAAGGGGTCAGTGATAAAGTATCTATCTGATAGTATTGTTCTTCTCAATGCTAAGGTGAAAGAGGTAAACATTTCTCTTATTTGAATTATTGATTCCTCAATAGAATGGGCGAATGAATTCCCATTGGACGTGCAATTCCCATGAACAACCCCCATTGTTTTAGGGAGTGAGTCTCCACTAACATAATGTATTTTTGAATTCTTTCATAGACATGAAGTACAATTTACTTTCACTTTTATTATATTTTTTTTATTGAGCCATATCATAAAGGAGGAATTTTTTTGAAAAAGAAAGTAAATATAACATTTCCCCAAATAACTATGATAGATGTCAAGAAAGACACCAGTTTGAAGAGGTGATTAAGATTTTAGGATTTTTAGAACGACCACCATCATTGACATTGTCGATGCTAAAGTGTTGAACTTGATAGAAGCCACTAAATATTGAATGTTATTTTAGTTATTTTTATATTATTTTTCTTTTTGTAGCTCCTAATCCATTATATAAATTATTAAATCTATAGTTTTTTGCTTTGCTTACTACCCTTTTGACAGTACTTCTCGCTTCCTTATAATTATTTTTTATACAAATAGCCGCATTTTTTTCCTTTATAATTTTCTACGTCCTAACTTCACTGCCAAATCCCCTTTTGCATGTTATAATTCTGGATTCTTCTATTTATAATTTATTTTAATTGAATTACTTGTCTTATTCTACATTAAGCTTGGCTTGCTTCTATTAGCAATCTTTCTTGACTAGTTAAAAATTTCTCACATTTCAAGTTTATTCATCTTGGTATAGAACATTTTTTCTTTTTATTCTGGGCACACGTGCTTTTTCACATGCAATCTTTACAATGGTAATCTTGGAGATTGATCTCCTTAAGTGAGATCTTGATGGAGTGAATTGATAGAGGTTTAGGAGAGTTTTGGATGTAGTTTTTATATGTAATGGTTTTATATACTCGTGCGATATTCACTGCTTTATGTAATTTAACTTTAATAAGTACCCTGCATGCATATTATGATTCATCAAATTAACTTCAGCATCCACGTTTTTCTTTTTCTAAATTTGATTTATTTGAGATATTATGGAAATGTTATCATTTTTAATGTGTTTTTGATGCTTCCATCTGTTGCAGATAATGGCTAGAAAGGATAACCCGCATGTCTCTTATCTTGATGTTGAAAAGTCATTTAGAAAGAACAAGGGCAAAATGGATGATATTACGGACATGCCCGCAGATTTATTGGTGGGTGAAGATCTCACTTCTCCTGGAAGTCGCAAGACCCAGAATTTACCAAAGAACAGCAAACTAAATTTGTCCCGTCCTGTCATGAACAAAGTTATGAAACCAAGCATGCTGGAAAAAGTTACAAGTTTTGCTGAGATACAAGAAAAACAATCGCCAGGAAATGTTGACAAGAAAACTTCAACATCTAATGTTACTTTGCGAAAACCTTCTGTTTTTCATGATGATGACATTGAAGCAGTTAGCTCTAAACTTAAAATTAAGCCTAATCTATATTTTAAATTGCGGAGAAATCCTACTCAATATTCTGGTGAATTCACCCTACTAAAGAAGCCAGAAGTGGTCCAGCTTCCTTCAAAACCTTTTGAAGAGAGTGTTACTTATGATAACTCAGTTGACATGAGCTTTTTAAATTCGGAAGTTATGGATACTGAAGATAGCTTTGATGATGTAGAAACTAAAGTTGTTATGCAGCAGAATAGCAATGATAAATCTGCAAATTATGATATTAAGGCAGTAAGGGTTGATGAGAGTGGTAGTTCTAATTTCAGGCAGAAATCTTCTGAATTGGATGGTGGTTTGCTCATAGGTAATGCTGTAATTTCTTCAATTGGAATGTTTATATGTACCCTGGAAGGTTAATTGCCCTTCATTTCTCAAGGATTACAGCCTCCTATGCAAGAAGGCGTTCCGCAAATTGATGACCAATTATGCAGCACATCTTTGCATGGGGACTCAAACAGCCATAAAATTGATGTCTCAGTGAATGCCTCATTGCTTGAGAAACCTAACAGGTACTTTCAAAATATCAATTGTTATCTAGAGGCTATAATCAGGATCAGTTTCTTAACTATATCTGACAGCTGATAATGAAATCAAGAAAATGTCCTATTAGTCAATTTGTCACAATTTGTTTACTTTTTATTAGAGAATATTTTAACATAAGAATTTGTTGTTTTTTAAGCCTAAGTTGGTTAAGGAAGGTAAAACTTTATTGATGTTAGCATTTATGTAAATAATGTGGAGTTAAGTTTAACCTATGGCTTGTAATGTGGCACTCATACTCTACAATCATCAGAAATGTAAATTTAAAAAATTCTATTATATATGGGGGTCATAATTAAAGCAAAATAATAAAAGGATTGAACTCCATTCAAATCCTATAGAGAAAAAATAAAACATATGAAACCCAAATAATTTCATGCAATAACCATCAACCTTATGCTTTCAGCAACCACCAATCAACTTTTTGCACCAGTTTAATATGGATGATGGATTTATGATTCACCAAAGCTCACTAATAGAGAACGTCACACCAAGTACTTCCATATATTATACTTGAAAATCTCATTCTAGTGGAGATGTGACACATGTCCTTTGATCGAAGGCTTAGCTTGATTGCGATAACAATATTATATAATAGTTATGGATCAAGCCCTATTGTTTTCTGTCAGTCAAGTCTATGAGTTACGAGTCATAAGACTCACTTTATAGAACATTGAATTTTATATTAACCAAGATCGGCATAAAGTTGGTCGCTACCACAAACTTATCACTCTACTTCTACAAGGCCTCCTTACATGTTGCAACTTATGGATGTTTGCATGGTTCTTTTGGTCTGGTTGGGTCCACCACCTATGCTAATTAAGTAGATTAGAGATAATAGCAACTAATAATATCATAGCTATCGAATCTTAATCAAGAGTATTGTTATTGCTCAAGCATCTGTTTTGAGCAGATATAAAACATAACATCGTAGAGCCTATATACCGGCTTCAATGCAAATGTGTCTTGTACTATTGTGAGGGATAATTTTAATTGATACTTCTCTTAAGTGAAATCTCAAAAAAATTATTGTTCACGAGGATAAAATCTTTGAACAATTTTTATATCTAACATTGAACCTGGCTTTTGAAAAATGACCTAAATCACTTGAATATTAGTAGGGCTTGGTGATTTTTTTTTAGATCCCACATTCTATTGACATTTCTATCTCCTATTCTATAACTATTATGAATTCTTTTAAATCATTTTCAAAAGAGGTCATTTCTTAAATAAATATATGTTTAGTAATTCATCAACCACTTCCCAAAATTAAAATTTTAAATTATCTTCTAATCCAAAAGCATTGACTACATTCATTTATATTTTGCTGATAGTTATCTTAATAGAAAATAATTTATAACTATCCCAATTAACCTCAACAATTTAATATTTAAACGTGTATGCTACTAGTTCAACCTCATTACTATTGCTAACTTTTCCAACATACAATAACTTGTAATATTTTCTTGTTAGATTTTTAGTTCTTTTTTTAAGTTTATTGCAAACAAGCAATATTTATTTTTTATTATCATAGTGCTCATCAATTCAAAGTTTCAAAATTTCATGCAATAAATCTAACGTTAGATGTAAACCCGGTTAACCCTTGCTTACTTGGGGTGCATCACTAATATAGAGTAACATCCTAGCTCATATTTGCCTATTTCTCATTACAATAGGGTTATATCATTGCACATTATTTTTGGAGAACATTCCTAACACTACCTAAATTCAATTTTAAATTTGTTGATTAGTTTTGATTACTTTTTATCAAACTAACATCTATTTTCAATCTTTTTCAAATGAGACGGATTAATAACTATAGTAATAAAAAATAAGTTGCCACATAAAAAAATGAGTAATAATAGTAATACAAATCATAATAAATCTCTCAAAATAAATTTTGATGATGACCAATTAGATTTACAATTAGCTTTATTATACCAAGGAAAACCCTTAAACAATTGCATTTATAAACTTTATGGATTAAGTCCCACAATAGTCCCTAATCATTCGTATGTGTCTAGTCTAAGGATATGGCATTTCTCTAATTTAGTGTATCAATTTTACAAAATTAATCCCAAATGTTCCTTTAGGGACTAAATCGGGATCAATTTTGTATAATTGAGGTACTAACTTGGGATCAATTATGCCTACTTTTCTTTCATTTTTGTCTGAGGTATCATTTGGGATAAATTGTGCATAGTCGAGGAACTAAACTGGAGAAATTTATTTCTCTAAAACTAAATAGATTGCATTTGAGTAGTCAGTGGATTATTTTGGGATTTTTTTCTAAAATTTATCATATTATGTATCGAAAATCTTATATCTATATACATTTAGGGGTTGTTTGGTTTGTTGAAAATGAGATGTAATATAAAAGGCTTGCAGAGTACTATGATTACGATGTATTTGAAATACTTTGGAGTTATTTAGTTCACTATAAAATAAACGTATGACTTTATTTTTTTTTTGTTTGATCTAAAGTAAATTGACAACAATATATATATATATATACTCTCAATATTAGTTTCAATGATATAAAGAAGTTAGTCCATGAAATTAATAAAATTAATATTAGGATAGGATATTGGAATATATGTACTCTCAATGATAAATTAATGAAATTAGTTGATATTATGATTCATAGAAAGATTAATATCTTATGTTTTCAAGAAACTAAATGGGTTGGAGAAAATACTAAGGAGATTGATAACTTAGGTTTTAAACTTTGATATTCTGGTAAGAGTCGAACTAGAAATGGTGTAAATGTAAGTATAAATAAGAGTTTGAAAGATAATGTTGTAAAAATTAATAGAGTTGGAGATATAATTATAGCCCTTAATATTACTATTGATATTAAGATTTTTAATATTTTAATTTTTTATGCTCCTCAAGTAGGTTTAGATATAGCTTCTAAAGATAAATTCTGGAATGACTTAGAAGACTGGAATGACTTAGAAGACTTTAGAAGACTTAATACAAATGATACCTCTTGAAGAAAGAATTTTTATTGGAGGAGATTTAAATGAACATGTTGGTAAAGTGATAGAAGATTTCAGAAATATTCATGATTGCTACAGTTTTGAAGTGACTAATGAAAAATGTAGAGTCATTTTAGATTTTGTTTTAGCATATGATTTTGTTATTACTAATAATTTATTCAAGAAAATAGATGAACATCTAATTACTTATAAGAATGGATCTAATAAAACACAAATTGATTATTTTCTTATGAGAAGAAGAGATGTCGAGATTGCAAAGAAAAGAGATCGTCGATATTATAAACTTGTAAGGTCATTCCAAGTGAGGATTTAGATACCCAACATCGATTAGTAGTTCTAAATTTTAAGATGGAGAGTTGTAAAATAAATAATACCGGACTCATCATCGTACAATTAGATGAAAGAACCTAAAAGACAAATAAAATTATTTTTATGAGTAAAATTCAAGATTTTAAAATTTGGGATGTTCATGATGATGTAAATGCTATGTGGTATAAAATAACAAATAATATTAAACAAATAATAAAGATGTACTTGGAGAATAAAAAAAATGTTTATATAAAAAAATAGTTTGTGCTGGAATACTAAAGTATAAGAAAAGATAAAATATAAGAAGTTACGTTATAAAAATTAGTTTGAATGTTAAAGCTTAAAGAACTAGAAAAAATATCAAACGGCCCGTAAGGAGTTTAAAAAAACAATCTGTGACGCTAAAAATTTTGTTTTTAGTAATCTTTACAATAGAGTAGATACTAAGAAGGGTGAAAAATATATTTATAAACTAATCAAACAAAGATAAAATAAAACTAAATATTTAACTCAAGTAAAGTGTGTTAAAGATGAAAATCAAAGTGTTATTCTTAGGAAAAATATTCAACATAGGTGGGTGAGTTATTTTGATAAAATTTTTAATGAAGTTTTTAAAACCAAGATCGACCTTAGTGATCTTAATATCGTTAATAATAATAAAATGTTTCATTTTTACCGTCGTATTAGTAAAAAAGAAGTTGAGGAGACTTTAAAGAAAATCAGAAGGTCGTATTAGTAAAAAAGAAGTTGAGGAGACTTTAAAGAAAATCAAGGGTAGGTCCTGATGATATTTCAATTGAAGTGTGGAAATATTTAGGAGATTTGGGAGTTTCTTGGCTTACGAAACTCTTTAGTATTATTTTAAAAACTAAAAAGATGCTTGAGGAATGAAGGAAGAGTATTTTGTTCCCCATTTTTAAGAATAAAGGGATGCACAAGAGTGTGCAAATTATAGAGGAATTAAGTTGATGTGTCATACTTTAAAGTTATGGGAGAGGATAATTGAACATAGGTTAAGTCGTATTACAAAGATTTCTCATAATCAATTTGGATTTATGTCGGGCAGGTCTACCATGAAAGCTATATATTTATTGAGAGGTTTGGCGGAAAAGTTTAGAGATAATAAAGAGGATCTACATTTGATTTTTATTGATTTAGGAAAAGCTTACGGTAAGGTTCCAAGAGATATCGTTTGGAGAGTTCTTGAGAAGAAAGGTGTTGATATGACTTATATTCAAGTCATTAAAGATATGTATACTAGAGCTGGTTGTTACTTGTATTTGAACTAAGTGACTACAATGATGGGCTGGTTGGAAGCGCAGTTGGCGGCGGCATCGACGAACTACTCCTGCAATGGACAACGGGCGACGGCGGATGAACGGCGGTGGGTGGCGGTTTGGCGATAGCAATTTACATGAACAATGTAATTCAAATTCGGCCAAATTGGTCGAATTTTAAATTCAACCAAAATGAAATATAGAATAAACTTCAAATTCATTCATACTTTATATTATATTTATAATTCTTTATACCAAACACATAGTTTTCTCAAATCTCTACAAAAGAATTACAATACACCACAAATTCACTCAACCAAAGAACCCCTTAGTTTTTTAAGTGTTCGATGGGATTGCCTTTTCCATGTTTTGTAATGTTCAATATACACATTCTTGTTTAATATGTATGTGTTAATCTTTTCCAGTAATAGAATGACAATAGCTTATCATTAAATCCTACAATGTAGATTTGCTTTAATGTGACAAATAATAGATTTGCTTTAAGATTAACACAATGTATGTGTTAATCTTTTCCGGCAATAGAATGACAATAGCTTATCATTAAATCCTACAATGTAGATTTGCTTTAATGTGATAAATATTAGTGCAGGCAAGAATATTCTGATAGAGAAGGCCTTCATACAGCTGGATTGGAGACTGCCAGGTCTAATGATAAAAACTACAGTTGTTCTGCTGATGTCGTTAAGTTTCAATCGGCTGATGAAGAGGTTAAGTAATGAGGACTTTGAGACTATGAAAATATTAAGTTGAAGGAAGAGCTACGTTTGCTGATGTTTATGAAGTGGAATTTTCTTAAAAGATTCATCTTGCATATTTAAAATTATATTTTTAAATAAATGATTAAGTCTATAATGAGGGTTTCGAAATTATGCAGGGTAGTCAAGATCATGATTGGAAGAGGATGGAAAAGATGCTCAAGTTAGGAGAAAGAGCTGAAGTAGAGCTGATTAGCTGCAGCAGCAGAGGTTTCGTGGTGAGTTTAATCCTTCTAATGATTAATATCTATGGAGGTAATGTGTAATATTGTTTTGTAGCCATATCCAGTTAAAGAGCACTGAAATGAAGGTTTGAAATATGTTGGACTAGTAATTATAACTCGGTTAATCATACAATCAAGCTGAAATAAGGAGCATTGAAATTAATAAAGTAAACGATTAATAATGCATTATCAATGACATTTTAATTGTTTCTCAGGCATCAGTTGGTTCCTTAATTGGCTTCTTACCATACCGCAATCTTGGTACCAAATGGAAATTTCTAGCTTTTGAATCATGGCTAAGAAAAAAAGGTTTGGATCCTTCGTTATACAAGCAAAATCTTAGCATTATGGGAAACTATGTTGGTCAGAGTGAGAATCCTGCATTAGATTCCTGCCAAATTTTAGAAAAAGAAATAGTGTCATTGCCAGACATGAAATTTGAAGGACTCCTCAAGACATATGAACAAGAGAAAATGAAGTATTTGTCCTCTTTTGTTGGTCAGGTTTGAAACAAATTTTGTAGAGTAAACATTTTTATTTAACTCATCTTCTTACTTGACTTTGATTTGATTGTGTGTTTGGTTAATGTTTTGTATTTTCTCAGAGGTTGAGAGTCTCTGTCATACATGCTGATCGAAGTTTAAGCAGACTAATATTTTCAGGGCGACCAAAAGAGAACGAAGAATTGGTCAAGAAGAAGAGAATGCTAATGGTATTTACTAGTTTTTCTTTTAATATTCTTAGAAAAAAAATGCTATTATAAGAAAATATTATTCTTGTATTAATGATCTTTGCTTCTGGAATTTCTTAGGAGGATAGCGTTCATGTACTAGCATTCGGACATGTTGAACACCTTTTATTTGGTTATATTCATATTATTTTTCTTATGATCGAATTTTTTTTGAAATTGAGCTCCCTCCACTCAGGTTTTTTTTTTTTTTAAACTTATGTTGAAATTTAAAAAATTAAGCCTGAGGCAAAAGAAGCAGTGGCATATCAGATCTTTATCTTTATCTATAAGGTATTGTTGTGACCTTCACTAGCAGAAGTTACTAAAGGACTAAAGGAGCACCCAAGACGGGATTGGAAGAATGATGCTACAAATCTCCATGAAAGTGGTTCTTTCTTTCGAATTGGAAACGACTTTCTCAAACTCGGGCTCGGGCATCCGGAAAAAATGGAATGGAAGAGGTAAAGAAAGCTCGAATGAGGAACGTGCACTATAGCTGGCGTCGACCCACTTTGCGATACGAACGAAAAACCGGAGGGGAATACCAGCTAACAAAAACTAAACCCACCAATAACTCAGATTGCTCGGGGTTGGATAATCTATCAAATGCTGGTTCAGTGTGGAGGATATAGGTTGTTTAAGAAGAGAGAATCGTTGGTTCCTTAGAGTCATTTCTCTTTTCTATCGTGACAACTCTTCTTCCCCCTTCTTTCTTTGCTCCGCACCTTGCCTTTACTTTATGGATGGAAATTGGAAACCTTTGGGGATGGACCTTTGCAACTTCGCATGTCAATAAATATCTTGATTCCATATTTATTCTTCTTTTATTTTATTTTTCCTCTTTCCAAGTATTGTGTCTAACACCTAAACATTCATATATACATGCATGCCACTTGAATCTTTAACATCACACAAAAATACCACAAACGCTATATTTTTAAACGTGAAATACACATTTTTATGCATAAGTTTATGACGCAAAGGTGCTGTAATTGTAAATATCTAATTTTGGGTGTTAGATATGTAAATACATAAAAATTGTGTGGTTGGTATGCAAAGTTCTTTTTTGTTTAATGTCTTTTTAAGTGTTAACTTTGACCTATTCCTTGACACTACTGTGGTTCTTATGTTGAACAATTTGTTGGTTTCTGTATATCACTATCCGTTTTTGAAATTTTAACCTTGAAGTTCAGTCATTTAATATCAAAACATCTGGGTTTAGTTTTTGTTAGCTGGAAGTTTATAGAGAAGGCGAAACCACTTTTACCTGTTGCATTGAATTTTAATCTTTAGCTGATACCGGATTAACCCAAAGAAAACAGTAGAACGAGAATCTTATTGCCAAAAACTCAAAAAGAATACAATAAGGTTTTTCCAAAACAGAAATAAGGAAACAACCCAAAACAGGAACGAGCTGCAGGGTGAGGATGCAGATGGTGAACACCGGCTAGACAGCAAGTGGAGGGAAAGGTTGGGAGGTGGTGGCAGTTAGGGGAGAGTTGGTGGAGCTGACGGCAGCAAGGAGGCTGCTGGGGTGTTGGCGGTAGCGTCGGATAAGAAATGGTGGGATTTGCGGCAGATATTAGGGGAAATGGAGGGGAAAGCGGCAGCAGAAGAAGTGCAGGTGGAGTTTGCGGCAGCAGGGGGGCTGCTGGAATGATTGGCAGCAGCCGCAGGGATGGATGAGGGTGCTGGGATGATGGCAGCGAGCAGGGAGAGGTAGTAAGCAAATGAATGTGTGGAGGTAGTCACCATCTTGGAGCAGGATACAGCCGGAGCACCGCCTGTCCTTTGATACAACCATAACAAGGGAGAAATGCCGAAGGCTAGAAATCAACAAAAACTAAACCCTAACACAAAAACAACATATTTATAATAAAGGATAACTTGGAGGGGGAAACCCCTCCTCTTGGGCGGCAGTCCCAACCCTAAGCAGGACTGGGTCCGGTTTAGCCTCCCTGCTGAAGTGGTTTGACCGGTTCAGGCCCCATAAGTTTGCTACATAGTTTCATATGAATTTCTTTGTTTTGACGGTAGCAACCAAAATTTGACACTTTCATCTAAAAACTATTTGAATCCCTGAAAATCTACAGAAACAGAGTTTTTTGACCAAATACAACTAGGCTTTGATTAACCGACTTTAAACCACCAAAATGGATTATTTTTGAGGCAGTTGTACTAAACTAAAAACCATGTTTTATTCATTGTCAATCAATTGATATTTCTATTTTATTTTTGTTGGTAGAAAATTTTATGAGGACTATTATAGAGGCCAAATTTTGTTCCATCATTTATTTCATTTATGTGGAGGTCATAGTTCTTTGTGATTCGATCTTCTATGAGTGCATTCTTCAATTTCAAATTGTTACTTGGATTGCATTCACAGTGTAACCAGAGCAGCTCAAAACCATATAATGTCAAAAATTTCGAATCCGAAGATAGAATACTCTCTAATATTTGATGTTTGCTAGCTTCCACACTTTTATTTATCAAATCTTCATTGTTTTTCTAAACATAAATTACTTGCAATGCGAAGTTTTTACTGATTTGGAATGAAGTCAACATTTAATTTGAAATTCTTTCGCTGAATTTGTATATTGTATTGTCTATATAGACAAGCATCAAATTCAAACTACTCTACGTAATTGGAGATAGGAGGGTCATTCTATTAATAAAAATTATTTAAAATGCCTTCTTATTGACTCTGGAATGAAGTCAATATTTAATTTGAAATTCTTTAGCTGAATTTGTATATTTTATTGTCTATATGCACATCTTAGAATCTGGCTATAAAAATGTTTCTCACAGTTTGGTCCCTCAGCCAATAACCTTGCAATTTTGGCTGCGGCGGACTAAAAACAATTCCGAAGACTAGAAAACAGCAAGTTGCCCTGATCAACCATGACATCCTAAAATACCCCTCCTAAGAAATTAAAAGACGGCATTCTACATGAGTTTTATTAATAGAAATGACCTACAGATCAGGTTCTTTGTTCTGTAATTTGATCATTACTTTTTGTAGTTCTTGAGAACAATAATTTAAGCATTTTTCTACTTCATTTCAATGTGGGTTGAATGTTAGCCCTTCTCCAATTCTTGATTCAAGCTTTGTCCATCAGGTTGTTGGAAACCAGCCTACCTGGTTTGCTGGCTGGCTATTAGAGAACTAACTCTGGAATGATCTTGGGTATATCAAAAGCGCAATTAGTTGGGTTCAATACTTCGAAAAACCTCAAGACAGGGATCTTAGCTAGAATTAGGAAGAAGTTGCTTTGGGAAATTTTGAATAATTATTTTGAGCTTTTGTTAAACTCTTATTTTGGATTGTTATTAGAATTTTACATCTAGCTTACTAGTTTTCAAATTGTTCAGTGTAAAGTACTCTCTAGTTATTGGAAGGGGTACATATGGGAAACCTCAAACCCTAGATCTTACAAGTCCTCACAAAATTATGTAGAAATGTATAGGTAGTGTCTTATATCTAGAATTTCATCTGCTTCCTGAAAATTTTACCCATAACGTCATGTAAACTCTATTGTTAGTTATTTTTTGAGAGGGTATGGGGGAAACAAATTTTCAGAGCCAACACTGAATTAGATATTTGGATATTTGGTATCACTGAATTAGCTCTAAGAATAGAGCTTTTCTTTTAGTTTAGGACAGGAACTTTGAAGTGTTAGAAAGAAAACCCATCATAATACCCGCAGAGTACCTACTGAAATCATTCCTCCCAATTATTCCCAAACTTTTGAAAATAATAAATACACTGCTTCCGACCAATATTCATTTAATAAAATGTTTTTTAATATTTAGATTTTGGACATTATTTCAATCTGCCCTAATGGCCATGTTGAGTCCTCGGTTGAAGAAGTTTTATCAAAAGATGAAGTAGAAGAGACCTGAAGATCTATTATATGCTGATTTTGGAGAGCTTCTAGTTTTATGCACCTTCGTATACCAAGAGTCAGAGTAGTTCCATCACAATATTTTTCATACTAGATGTACGACGCTAGAAAAAATGTGCAGTGTTATCACTGATGGTGGAAATTGTGAATGTAGTGTCTTTGTATGTGATAGGGAAGCTAAACATTTCTTCACAAGATCAGTTTACACCTTACAGGTTGGCTTCATAAAGGGAATGAAATAAAGACTATCAATGGCGTTTAGTGTAGTTTTCTGTAGGAAAACAAATTCCAAATGGAGTTTTGGTGCGATATTATTTCTATGGATGCTTAATTCTTAGTTTTAGGATGACTGACAATATGATAAACACTACTATGATGGTCGCAATAATACCTACAGAAAACAAATCACAATAAAAAAGCAAATATTATTATTGAAATCAAATATATAATTACAAGCACACACTTGAAAATGAAATATAATAACAAGCACAACGAAGTCAGGACGAGGGTTGTATCCCAAAGGAGTTGTTGGTTGGTTGAGTGGGTGGAATGGTGGCGGTTGACTGCCGAAAGAGTTGTTGGAGATGGCAGTGAAGCAGCAAGTGCGGGGACAAAGGTGTCTGAACCGCAGGTGGAGGTAAGAGAGCTGTGGTGGGGCTGCAGGTAGGAAGAATAGTGGACTGCGGGGCTGGGTTGCAGCAGCAGGTGGTAGGAGGGACTTTTGGTTGGAGGGATATGACTGTGAAGTAATGTGGGAGGTGGGATGGGATGATAACAGTAGAGACAACAGGGTAGTAGCTGATGGCTGGAGAAGGCAAAACTGGGGGTGCAGCTGGATTGGGAAATTGGTTGGTGGCTGGGAAGGGAATGCAGTTGGATGAACAGAAAGACAACCGGAGCACTGTTTGGGGATCCCTATGGGGAGGAAAGACGGCAGCGACAGCGAAGGGAGGTATGCGGAGAATGGAGAAGTCGGAGATAAATGCCTCTGCGGAAATGGGCTACAGTTGGAGCACCACTCGATCCCTTGGAAGGAGATCATCACCTCGAACGAGCTAAATTCGAAGCACAACTCGCCTTAGGATATGACTTTAGAAGGGAGAAAGAGGACGCCGACAGCTGTCCTGACAGAGAACATACACCAAAAAAGGCCAACCTAAAACACTGGAAGCAAATATATAAGCTCTGGATAATTTAGGATTGGGCTCACAGCTAAAAAGAGGCGCCAAATCCAAAGGAGGCGCCAAATCCAAAGGAGGCGCCAAATCCAAAGGAGGGAACCTATCGACTCTTCCTCTTGCCTAGAGCGGTTAGTCGAGGCACTGGACGCAAGAGGGGGGCCTTGCCCTCGCATACGTCCTGCGCCAGAAGAGACTCTTCCACGTCAATGGTCTTGATGCCTTTATATGAAGACTTTAAGGAAGATGCATACACTTATTTTATAGTCTCTAAATTAATGTTTTTGAGAGCTATGCAAGACTCCCCATTTAGTTTGAAAAATACAAATGAGTGTATAGTAAAGAAGTGTCAACCATTATTACAACCAAATCAAAATATTTCCCTACTAGTTGCAGGTACATGAAGTGGGTTGAATTGTTGTTTTCAATACAATATAATTTGAAACATAAATTGGGCATTTAAAATTGTATCACTAATCCCTTCAATTGAAGATATCCTTTTATTAGTGATGTCCAATCAAAGTTGGATGGATTCAAGATGATAAAAAAAATCTAATTTCGCGGCTTTTGTATGAAGTGATTACTCTTCCAAAAATTTCGAATTGCAATACTTTCACCCATTTTTTAGTAAGAGTATGTTTAGGGTATCAAGAATGAGTTTTTTATTACTTAGGGAGAATGAAGGGTCATTTCTATTAATAAGAAGGTTTTTTGTCTTGATTTCCTTAGGAGATTTAATATAATAAATTATAAAATTGGGGCCTAGGAGTTAGTAAGTTTTGCTTGTAACTACCGAAGCTGTGATGAACATAAGTTAAGATGTATCACAAAAATTTCTCATAATCAGTTTGGATATATGTCGGGCAGGTCTACTATGGGAGCTATACATTTATTGAGAGATTTGATGGAGAAGTACAGAGAGAATAAGAAAGATCTACTATGATTTTTATTGATTTAGAAAAAGCTTACGATAAGATTCCAAGAGATATCCTTAAGAGAGTTCTAGAGAAGAAATGCGTCAGTATGACTTATATTCAAATCATTAGAGATATGTATACTACAACTATTACTTGTGTTCGAATAGAATGAAGACTGACCAAATATTTTCTTATTTCAGTTGGATTACATCAGGGATCGGCTTTAAGCCCATGTCTTTTTGCTTAAGTTATGGATGCTCTTACTGGACATTTACAGAAGGATGTGTCACGGTGTATGCTTTTCGTTGATGATATCCTTCTTGTGAATGAGACTAGAGAAAAAAGCTAATGAAAAACTTAAATTATGGAGGTCTACATTGGAGTCTAAAGGTCTTCGTTTGAGTAAAACTAAAACTGAATACATGGAATGTAATTTTAGTACTAATAACTCTAGTGACAGAGTTGTAACTATAGGTGATCAAATTATTAAAAGGTGTGAACGCTTTAAAAATCTCGAGTCTATTGTTCAAAGTGATAGTGATATAGATGGGAATGTTATTAGTAGAATTCAATTTGGTTGGTTGAAGTGGAGGAATCCTTCGGGCCTATTGTGTGATAGAAAAGTAACACTTAGATTGAAAGGAAAATTTTATAAGATGTTGCAATGCTTTATGGCGCTGAATGTTAGCATTTAAAAGAGAAGCATAAAACTAAGTTAAGTGTTGTCGAGATGAGAATGCTTCGATGGATGAGTGGCTTTACACTTAGAGAGAAATTTGCAATGAGACTTATGCCTCATTGGGTACCACTTGAGGCTTATGCCTCTCATAATGTGGACTCTGTCTCAAGGCGCGCCTTAACTTAGTTTTGGTGAGGTGCGATTAGATCTAGGGTTTTTCTTAAAGTAAATATATGTAAAATAACCCAAATAAACATTCATTGCAAACTCATATAATACATAACTAAGTTTGAAATTGAAATTATTACTTTCTATATTCTCATTGTTTTAAAATCTAATAATTATTCTTATTAATTAATGTCAATTAAATAAGATGAAGATGATCGACATTTACATTAGAGGATGAATGAGAGAATATGGTTGTAATCGAGAATGAGGTGAGAGAAAATGTAAATTGTTATGTTGAGGATTTTGATAAAAGCTCATTAGTAATAGGCGTGATGTAGACTTTTGAATTTAGAAATTCTAATATTAGTGACTTGTAATGTTCTTATTTTGATAGATGATAGTAGGATGTGAGAGATATTAATTATAGCGAACTTATTTTAAATTTTTATGTTATTATGTTTACTTTGACTTTTGTATAGTCCTTATTTTATGTATGATGTTTGGATGTTAAGGTATTATTTCTTACCTAGAAGAATTTATAATTTTTACCATATTTGTATGTTAATATGTTACTTCTTACTAAATCCTTTGAACTTAATACAATACTTCTTATTTTGCATGATCTATTTATTTTGAGGTTTACGCCTCGCCATACAGGCAAAAAATGTTTTAATATTCGATTGCACAGTTTTAAACTTCAATAATTAGATTGCTAAAAATTTGAATTTGAGATTGCTATACCTTTAGCCCAAAAGAGGATTGGATGGTTAAGAAAGAATTCTTAAGAGCTAATGTCATGACAAGCTAATTTGTGGTTATTACTGTGATTTACATGAAACACATTTTTATGTTGAATACAGAGTAAAACGGTTTTAAACATGATTTTTCAATATGTCAGCCTTGTTTATGAGCCTTCCAAACAATCACTGTCGTCAAAATTTTGCCAATGTTGAATACTGGATGGTTTCAATTTACTGCTTTGAGTAATAGAGTTTCTGATTTCGTTTGTGCACATTCAATGTGCCATTTTTATTTAAAATGCTTTGTTTGAGTAGCGATCGGGTATATAAAGCATTTTGGGAATGATTTAGGATTCTTTTCTTGCTTCTCAACTTAATGAGAATTGTTCGTGCAGGCAAGACTTAATGTTGGGGATATTGTAAAATGCTGCGTCAAAAAAATTACTTATTTTGGAATATTCGTTGAGGTAATGACAGAATTCATTTTCTTTCAAAAATAAATTGTTGGCTTATAAGAGGCCTCATTATGATGAAATCATTTAAAGGTTGAAGGAGTTCCAGCACTGATTCACCAGTCCGAAATATCATGGGATTTTATATTAGATCCATCAGCATTTGTCACAATTGGGCAGGTACAACTGAAAATCCTATGGCCACCATAGCCAATATTTTGATATTTTTCCTGAGAGAGTTTCTTCTGAAATATGCAAAATATCTTTACAAGTTTATCATTTTCCAGTACAATATTTATCCACCGTGTTTTTGCATTGTTCTTCAGTATCGTTCATCTGCTAAAAATATAAATTCAATTACACTTTTTTTTAAAAATTTTATCAAGCTGAATGTTCATGGAAAATTCAAGAAGTTATCATATCCATAGATACCAGAACTTGGAGAATTTAGTTTGTAAGTAAAGCTTTTCTTACTAACTTCTTCAAACTTTTGCTCCTGTGTCAGGTTTTAGATGCAAAAGTTCATCAATTGGATTTTGTGTTTCAACGCATCACATTATCATTAAAAGACGTTACGGTATATTAAATAAGTTATTTCTATCTATTAAGCGTAATCTCTAGATGCTTACTTGTTTCATATTACAATTTTCTTATGAATTTCCATTTTTAACTGAATTTTTTGCAGCCAGACCCACTAATTAAAAGTTTGGAATTCGTTGTTGATGGTGGAACTCGAACTTATTCGAGTGAGAATCGAGAGTCTGCACAACCAGATTTTGAGGTTTGAGAATCATCTTATTACAGATTATTGATTTTTGACTAGCTTTAATATGCTAATATTTTATTTGGCACACTGCAGTTTCCACGATATATTCATTAATTGTGTAATGTGGCTTGTTTGGAATTATTTGGTGCAAATGTGCATCAGAAAATCTAATCCTGATAACCTGGAGATAATTCTTTTATCAATCATTGTGAATTAATATTTGGGTAAATAATAGTTTTGCTCCATATTTTTACAGAGATCACATTTAGGAAACAAAGTTCTGCATTTATATTTGATTGCTGAATTTGTAGAATTGCACCATTTTGGTCCATGAAATTAATAATGACATTAATTGAAATAAGTTTTTTTCTTATAATTCAATGTCCTTTACTCCCCATTCATGGGTTGGGGGTCCTAAACATATATAAGAAGAGTGTCCTAAACATGTATAAGAGGAGTTAAAATCTTCAATGTAGTCATGTAAGTATCATAGTAATCAAGCACTGTCCATTTTAACCTTAGGGAGATCTTTTATAGATAGTCATGTATTTGAGTGATAGACCCTTAGGAATAATTAGTGTAATGTCCATGAAAATAAAATAAATGACATCTAGTTTATAAAATGATAAATTATCACTATGACTAATCACTTATAACATAACAACATCAAAAATTGATATTAAAAAAAAATACATTGTTGATTTGAGCAACTTAATGTGTTGATGACAAATGGTTTTCTAAAAACTCAAACCCTGTTGTGATTTCTAGATATCCTTGCTCAAAAGGGATCAAATTCCATTTAGCTTTGATAGTTATACAATACTATATATAAGAAGGCCAAAAAAATAAGATAAAGTAGAAAGGCAATAAAGTCAATTTATCTCATTGAACGTCACATGATAGAAGGATTTTTACACCATTATTAAGTGCATATTACATAATGCAGCAGACCGATGGAAACTACTACTTGCTCATTACGATATCCAGTCAAGATGAACAATTTTATCTAATGTCTAGTTTTGTCTTCTAAAAAATCTATCATAATTACTTGAATATAAGAATAATCAAGCAGGGGAGAGTCATATCTCCTACCCAATTAATTTTATACTACAAACAAAAAACTACTTATTTGAAAATTTTTCATGAATATTTGACCGTTGATCAACTTGACTATGAAAAGGGGCCATTTGAAATGCCTCTTAATTACTTCTTTTTCTCTTTGAAATATCAACCCCAAGTAGTTGGGATACGACTAATGATGATGATGATGCCTTCTTTTTGGAAATTTGAGTTATTGAAATTGATTTGGATAATGCGTTGTACATTATAAAAAACCATTTTAGTCATGCACCATAAAAACAATAAATAATTTATTAGACAACCTAAAGTGTATATTATTGAATGCAACATTCATTTAGGTTCTTGACACGAATTTGCATGTAGCAAAGGAGTTCATTTTAAAAGAAAATGTGTTACAAGCATTCTTGAAGAAATTGGTTTTTTGAGTACAAGCTTTTTTACTCTGCCATGGATTTTCTGTAGCCTTTCAAAAATTATGTAAGCCATAAAAATTCTGCTCACTTTCAAGATGTATTTGGTGATTTTATCTCACTTGAGTTGATATATCTTTTGTTGTTAGTGTAGTTAGCAAATATATATATATATATATATATATATATATATATATATGTATGTATAAAAGAAAAAAGTAAAGAGCATTGAAATATTATCATAAGAATTTTAACTTGCATTAAGGATATATTAGAAAGAAGTTGTACTTTAACAGTAACGTTTAATCATTTATCGATTGGGGCTTATTTTACTGCAAATTTTGTTGGATCTATTGAAGATTGGAAAGTTATTTAAGGATATTATATCTCTATGGAAATCTCGTATCTTGGAGAAGTAAACAAATAAGTTGTTGTTGCTACTTCTAGTGTTGAAACTAAGAATATAAGATCATGCTTTCTTATGGCTAAAAATGATGTGACTCAGAATTTTAGGAGAAAACTAGATTTTCTCACAAAACAACATTATGATCCTTTATTGTGACAACCAAACAACTATCTATATTGTCAACATTTTAATATTCTTTGGAAGAATAGAGCTTATTGAAGTGTATTATTAATTCATCAGAGATGCATTTTTGGAAAGAAGTATTATCGTTCCACATGTTCACTAAAGAACGATTATTTGATAGCTTTACAATGGCTCTGGGACCTCATCATTTTTGGCAATCTTTGTAACAAGCTAAAACCTATTGATGCCAATGCTCTAGCTTGAGGGAGAGTATTATTTTGTAAAATTTTTAAGCTTTGAAAGATGATTAATAAAGTTGCTATATTGGAAAATTAGTAGTATAAAATATCATCTTAATTGAAGATATTTCTCACTATTATCTTCACTTTTTTTTTACTTATATATATATATATATATATATATAGCAGGTTTGTTCTTTTTACATTGAAAAATCTACTTCTAACATTACCGCCTGAAATGCATGCAGTGGCCAGAAGTTGATTTGCTTATTAAGAAATTGCAAGGGGTAGATGGAGTTAATGATGTTACCAAAGGCCGTTTCTTCTTGAGTCCTGGTTTAGCCCCAACCTTCCAGGTAAATAGAAAGTTTGTGTCAAAATAGTTCTCTTGACTATTTACAATGGGGTCATTTTAGCCCCATAATCTGTAAAATTAGCTCATATTCTCTTTTAATATGAGCTAAAGTACTCCCCAGAGAGGGCTATTTATAGATTTTTATTTGTATTTTTTTAATTTCTTTTAAGTTTGGAATCTTCTGAACTTAGATCTCCATGTAAACATTGTACTTTTAAAATGTTATGTTGCAGGTCTACATGGCTTCTATGTTTGACAATCAATTCAAGCTGCTTGCCCGTTATGAAAACAAGGTCCAAGAGGTACCAATCTATATTTTACTCATTTACCAATCTATATGATCTCTTTTCTTTGCCGTGAAGTTGGAAATAGATTTCAAAAGTCGAATAGGCTGCACATATCAACTGTAAACATCCTCTTTAGTGTTCTATGTCTCTATGTCTAAGCACATAAGAGCATCTAGTTTAGTCCCATATCAGATAGTTGAAAAATATAGGAAGATTTACATACATACTATGTATTTACATTTCTCTCACCTAAACTTTAAGTTTTACATACATGCACCTTGGCCCTTGCCCCTGCGCATATTGCAAATAAACAACCCCTTGGTGAAAATTTTCATTTCAGAATTTTGCAAATGGATTTTAAAGTTTTTCATATTTGATATGAGTACCCCTAGCTCTAGCTTTCATTATTATTTCAGAAACCCTGAGAGACCACTGCTAGGGTTTTTCTTAAAAGCTTGATCATTTTATTAGGGTTTTATCATGAAACATACTATGATATCAAGACAAGGTTCAAGAAACATTTAGAATTTCCTCGGAAACTATTATTATTTTGGGTTTTTTACGTGCCAGCCACTCAAAACATTGAATATAACATTTTAACTACTTTTTTCAAATGTAATATTTAAATTTTTGTGTGGTTAAAATGTTATATTTAATTATATTCAAACTATAGAGAGTCTTACACAAATAGTCCTCTGTTAAATAAAAAATAAAAAAAAGATTTATAAATCACTTATTTGGTCAGAATAAATAATGTTTATCTATTTGAAGTTGCTAATTCCAAACTCCAATTTTCTGTTTTATTCCTAAGATCTAAGACTGCCATAACAAACCAAATCCTTGTATATGTAATACCCCTGCCATAAGTTGGAACTGAAAAGTTTTCAATTTTTTGCATCTTTTTTAAGAAAGATTTACATAAATACCAGTCAGTTCTTATGTATTTACACGTATTTTTACACGCATACCACTTTAGTTATGCGTGAAAAGATGTATTTCACATTCCAAGAGTTAAAAATAGTGATATTTTTTTTGCGATATGAAAGATTTGGGCGGTATAAATGTAAAAAGTAAAGATTAAATGTTTGATATATCTGTACATAGAGTTAGGGTTATATGCATGTAAATGCCTCTTGGCCGAGTAATAATTGCTCCTCTAATATTTTGCAGATTATGGTGCAAGCTTCTTTGAACAAAGAACAGCTTAAGGACGCAATTTTGACATGTACTGATGGGGTGCAGTAATTGAAGCAGCCAGTTTAGATTTTTTTTTTTATTATTTTTGTATTATTTCTCTATAAAATAATATATTTGTTGTAGCATGGAATAATGGATTCAGTTCGTAAGTTAGAAGTATTGATGTGGATGATTTTTATTTCATGCAAGAATGAGAATGGCAGCATAATTAAGTGAGAAAATTGAATAAAATAAAAAATAAGATGAAATTAGAAAATAATTTCATGTAAAGTTACAATTCTATAGAATTTCAGTTGTTTTTTTATGCTTTATTATAGGCATTTAAGTTGCCACACATTCCTTAATGCAGTCAAACATCTAATGCCTAAATTTTCATGTTTACATGCATAACACTAAAAAATCATTAATATTATTTTAAAAAATACCTCAGATAACATATTTTCAATAGTGAAATATACACGGTTCTTTTATAGAATTATGAGATCGATTTAGGTGTTCAATATGTAAATACATGTAAATTGTATAACAAGCATATTTTTCCTTCTTATTTTTTGCAGTCATCAGCTAAAAATTAGTAGAGAACTTTGTTTTGTAATGTCACCCATAATTAGGGCTGTCAAAACAGCTCTTCGTTTGCGAACAGTTCGTGTTCGGCTCGGTCGCTAAATTAACGAGCCAAATACGAACAAAAATTTTTAAAAACGGCTCGTTTACACCCCTACACTTAATCAAGTAAATATGTATAGCAGAGAGACATGAATGGAAAAATTATATAAAAAACAGGAAAGATTGATAAAAAAAACTTATAATCACATATCTTCAAAGGTATGCTGCAAATAATCCTAAACTCTAATCAAATCAAATGCACCTAAGAGAAGGCAAACTTACCATCATTTCACAGCTACCTTTTTTTTTTTTCTTTAAATATACATTTTAATGAAAAACAGCACAACAAAACCCATAATTGCATCATCACATAAAAATTTAAGCCGAGCAAAGGTCGATTCGAGTCGCAAAATGGTTTATATCACCGCCATTTTTTTGTCCTGTAGACCTTAGTATTGACACCTGCACCGGGCATGTAAGAGAGGTGGTCATATAGCCTCGACATAAAAAGCCATCATGGCATATTCTAACAAGGTTTTAGTGCGAGTAAAGTGTTGAAATAATCCCTTAACTATTTATGTGTCTATTTTAGTCCTAGAGTCTAAAATTATGAAGTAATCCCTAGACTCTTTTAATATGGGTTAAAATATTGAGAGGAAAGACTATTTAAGCCCTCATTAAAAAGGTCGGGAGACTAAATTGATATTTTTATAGACTATGGGACTAAAACACACCTATAGAATTGGGGGATCATCTTGGCACTTCTCTTTTATTGTTTTGCAAAAGAAATATCAAGAATCATAATGCAGGAATGTGGTTATAAAACTAAAATATCTATACAATAAAATAATGCATGGAAGTTGTGCATTATTACCAACAGCAAGTAAAATGGAACATTAGCATACTAATGTTGTGAAGTACAGAAGTAGAACGCTGCTACTCTACCAAGAAGTTCCTTCAAGTCTCTTCATGTCTAAGAATTTGTGGCCGATTTTATAATATTCACAATCTCCGTTCATCGTGAACTTAGTTTGCACAATTTTTTTGTAATTTTTGCTCATTCTAGGATTGTCAACAGACAAATCTTTGCTCTAACAACAACAACAAACATTTATCCCACTAAATGGAGTCGGCTGCATGAATCATTTTTCTTCATTCATTGTCCTATTGAGTGTCATACATATTATCATTCAATTCTAATAAATTAAGATCAACTATACGACATGCCCAGCTCTTCTTAGGTCTACCTCTACCTTTCTTAACATAAAACGAATCTTTGCTCCACTAATTTATTTTTTCTTCTAAATCTTTTGGACATAAATTTACCTAGGAATCATCTTATACTTCTTGTAGCGAATTTCTAAATATCATGTTTACTGTCATCCCCTTATCATCCAAGCTATTTATGGGACCAAATTCAATTTAAATTTTTCTATAGTGTACAATGTTTGCTACCAAATTAGATGGTCCAAGAGCGAAAAATAGATGCTCCATTGACAGTGATGAAATGTGGCCAAGTTAACTGTGCTGAAAGCCCTATTAAAATACATTTAATATGAAATGTTTCATAATCTAAGAAATCACATGACTAAAAATAATTTTATAAAAATATAGCCATAAGCCGGAAAACATTATCGGCATAAATAGTTCTTCTTGAAACATCTGGTGGATAAATTATTTCACAATAAAATTAAGTTATACCTTCGGACGATCCATATGGCTCCCAAAATAGCCGACGCCAAAAGACGAAGAGGTGTAAGCTGCAACCATTTCTACAGCATTCAGTAGAGGTGGACTTCCTGCAGCCTAATAATAGATGCTTAGTCTCTAAATTATTTAACAAATTGGTACCAAAATATTATAGATTTTCATTTTAGTCCCAAATTTTCACATCAAGCCTCAGCTCATCAAGTTTGAACCAATTGGGCCCTACCACTGACTTGCATGTTTCTATGGATAACAATTGATACAAAAAAAACTTTCAATAATCTCTCCAAATTTTATAGAAAATAATGCAGAAGTTGACAAGAGAAATAAAATGATACAGCTGTGAAGAGTTCAGGGATCAAATTTATAAGTTGAGAAATTTTGGGATGAAAATGAGCATACCAAAAAAATCTAAAGGATCATTTTGATCATTTTCTTCAAAGCCGTTGACCACAAAACAATTGTTAGGTGCATTAAAAAAAAAGGGGCATTTATATACATACCACCTAATTCCTATGATATCTAACACAGATTTTAGTTTTTTGCATTTATACCACCCAAAAATTTCATATTGCATAAAAGATATCACTATTTTAAATTTTAAAAAATGGAATACACATTAGCATGCATAGATAAAGTGACACATATATATAAACTGAAGTATAGGTGCTAGCTATTGAAACAAATGTAAATAAAGTGACATGTTTTATATTGCATTAAAAATATCACTATTTTAAATTTTAAAAAATGAAATACATATTATCATGCATAGATAAAGTGACATATAAATAAAAACTGAAGTATAGGTGCTCGCTATTGAAACAATGTAAATAAAGTGACATGTATGTAAATCTTCAAACAAAAAAAAACCTGCAGAGTTTCTGCCTGCACGAGTAAAACCCCGGCACCTGTATCATGGGAGTAATGATTTCCTTCTTTAATCACAGAATGAAGAACTTTCACACAAGCAGAAGCTGGACCATCATTGGATCTGCGCATAACAGGATTAACCTTTTAAGTAATTCTTTTAACTGCCAAACCCCAAACAGGAAGGTAAATAAATAAATTTTATCAAGTGAATTGACAAAGTGAATCAAGCAGTCTTAAATTAAAGGAAGATTTACATATAAAACACATTTTTTATGTATTTACCTATTTAACACCCAAAAGTTGAATATTTAAACTTATAACACTTGGGTTTCATAAATTTATGCATGACAAGATGTATTACACTTTTAAAAAGATAGCGGTGATGGTAATTTTGATGTGATGTTAAAGATATAAGTGGTGTGTATGTAAACATGAAAATTTAGGTGTTAGATATGTAAATACATAAGAATTGTGTCGTATGTATGTAAATGCACTTAAATTAAACGAAGGGAAGAACAGCAATCCCCTTGCTGTGTATTCCGGCTCTCAATAATGAAATTAAACACTACTTATAGGTAATTACAACAAGGGATAAGTTCAAATCTGCTTTCTATACAAACTCCACAAAGAGAGAGCCCTATCTCCAAGCAACAAAATTTAAAAATTCTCATTCAATTTCATGCTTCCAATTATAATTGAGCAGTGATTCTTTATAAGTTTTGAGAATAAAAAGAACAAAGAGAAATAGGACGAAACGAGGAAAAAAAAAGTTTTTAATACCACGATGAGAGTGTTCATCACATTCAAGACAGTGAATGGATTAAACAAGCACAATAAAAAATGCAAGTAAAAATTAAATTTTATGGTTAACTAAGGAAAATAAGTAGCCCACTCAAAGCAGTGGACACACGGTTGAATAAAAATGCAATTTGTTAGAATGGCACTCCCCAAATTATTGTGTAATATTTATATGAAAAAGCAAGGAACTGGAAAGGAGCTGTTGCATAAGTTCAATAGCAACATTTTGTCGGGATGTCTAACAGCAATATGACTGATTTATAATACGATTTGCAACACAAAATGAGCGAAGAACAAATGGCATATAGTTTAGGGCATTATAGAAACAAAGAATTTTAATATAAGTAAAATTTTGAATTTAAAGTCTAAATAGTAATGTTTGAACAAAACAAATATTTCGGACTAACACTTCCAAAAAGTGCAACTAAAACTCTGATGTAGTCATCAATAAAGAGACGTAATAATAAAATCAAGATGAACCGTGTTTCGGAAGGACCGTTTCGGTCCAGGGTCGACTGATGCATCCTGTCACGTCTGGGGCGAATGATGATCCGCAGGATTGTCCATGAACCTATGAAATTCGCATTATTGGCAGAATGCTCTAACCAAATGAGTTAATATGCACTAAGAGGCAGAAGTGGTGACATGTTGATCGGCTTAAGGATATCTTTTTTTTTCAAACATTAATAAAAAAAGTTATTAGTGTTTTAATAGTATTGGCAATGTGCAAAAAAGTTTCAACCACAAGCACATCCACCACAACAATCATTACCTCTTGTGCAAAAACCAAGAGCAAAATGCTTGTAATCAGAAGAAAGAACAATAAACTCAGTGACCCAAAGAATACATGTGAGAGTTGCGAGGATATTAGGATTAACAATGCCAATCATTAAATAAGCTTGGATTAATTCCAGAAAGAAATCTGCAATAAAATATTCCTCATTTACTTTTCGCCAAGTAATGGGAAAAGTGTTAAAAGGGCAATATCAAAAACGTTTATCCCATTTTTCTTAAATGTACTATAGTATTTTGAATAGGTTTGTCCCCCAGTTGTAAGGATGTCTAGAGATTTTATACTCGGAAGATGTTGCTATCTTGATAGCATATGTGTTGGATCTTGGTTTGTCCGTGAATTCACACCATCAAAAAAAGAATTGAAATAAGGAAGGCTTTAATTTAATAAAGAAAGAAAAGATATGAAAAGATGGATGTTTTTAATATTTGTGAGAATCTCCTTATATTACAATGGTCACCCTTATTCATAAGGGATTTAGTTTATGCATTACAAATCAAGGACTCATTGGACTCGTTACACTTAGGTCTCAATAGATCCTTAATCTATCCCTCATCTTCTTCTCAGAAAAGAGTTATATTTTATATTATCCTTGTTCTCTTGCATAGACAATTATAACTTATAAAATATCATATCCTCAAGCATAACTAACTGGATACAAATCTTGATTTGTCCGTGAATTCACACCATCAAAAAATGAACTGAAATAAGGAAGGCTTTAAGTTAATTAAGAAAGAAAATATATGAAAAGATCGATGTTTTTAATATTTGTGGGAATCTCCTTATATTACAATGGTCGCCCTTTTTCATAAAAGGTTTAGTTTATGCATTACAAATCCAGGACTCATTGAACTCATTACACTTAGGTCTCAACAGATCCTTAATCTATCCCTCATCTTCTTCTCTAAAAGGAGTTATATTTTATATTATCTTTCTTCTCCTGCATGGACAATTATAACTTGTAAAATATCATATCCTCAAGCATAACTAACTGGATACAAATCTTGATTTGTCCGTGAATTCACACCATCAAAAAATGAATTGAAATAAGGAAGGCTTTAATTTAATTAAGCAAGAAAATATATGAAAAGATCGATGTTTTTAATACTTGTGAGAATCTCCTTATATTACAATGGTCGCCCATTTTCATAAAGGGTTTAGTTTATGCATTGCAAATCCAGGACTCCTTGAACTCGTTACACTTAGGTCTCAACAGATCGTTAATCTATCCCTCATCTTCTTCTCTAAAAAGAGTTATATTTTATATTATCCTTCTTCTCTTGCATGGACAATTATAACTTGTAAAATATCACATCCTCAAGCATAACTAACTTGATATGCATCTCTTAATCAACTTATTCGTAGGGTGAGTTGATCTCCTTGGATGAATAGGTCTCGAGGTGAGTTGGGCTTTTTTATCGAGTTACGAGCTTTCCTCAATTTAAGCAGACGTTTGTGTGCAGATCACTGTAAGCGAGTCATTGCCCGTAACTACATGGATGGTTTGATCAATCCATTGAATTATTCTAATCGAGCCAGCTAGTTCGCTTGGCAAGCTATTCCCCTAGATATCTCAAACCCGTCATGAACTTCCATTAACTTTTGGCCATACAATATGGGGGAAAAAAATCCCACATTCCTATAGAAATCTCCTTGAATGTCAGTGAGATTCTTCTTTGCGAAAAACAATTGGGGGCTCCGCGAGAGGCGAGGAAGGTTCCAACAGTTGTCTGTCTCTCTTCAGACAATTGAGGGAATACTGTAGATGCTAGGAATTTGTGACTTCAAGAGGATGTTTGAGACACAATATATTCATAAATTTGTGGGCGAGAAATCATTGTTCAAGGTCAAACTTTCATTCCCCCCGAACGATTCACAGTTGTAAAATTAAAGAAATCTAAGAAATGACCTTCCGAGCCACAGCCCATGTAGTTTTCTCAAAGCGGCTCCCAACAAACAGTAACTGTGAAGTACTCCCTCAAAAACAACAAATAAGGGTTAAAGAATCGTGAAAATCCATACCCAGTCCGTCGAATTATTATAAAGAAAAAAAAAGTTGCTCATAAAAAATAGCTTTTATTAAATGCAGCTTATAAAATAACTTTTTATTAAAAAAACAGTGGATTAAAGTAGCTTATCATAAAAAAAAAGATTAAAAAAAACAGCAGTTTATTAAAAAGAAAAAACTTTTATTAAATGTAGCATATTAAAAAAAACAACTACATTAATGGTAGTTTATTTCAATCGTTTTAACTTTTATTTCAGCAGGTTGGTTTAACTTTTATTTCAACCAGTTTAGTTTTTATTTCAACCAGTTTGACTTTCATTTCAATTTTTATTTCAGCGGGTCGGTTTAGCTTTTATTTCAACCTGTTTAGCTTTTATTCCAGCTGGTTTAACTTTAATATTTAGTTTTTATTTTAGTGGGCCGGTTTAGCTTTTTTCCAGCCACTTCGAATCTTGTTGGCCTACCTGCTTCAAATTTTGTTGGTTCGTCGAGCCCACCTAAATGCGGCCCACAAAAGTCAGCTCGCCCACTGCAGCTTAGGAATGCAAACCAGGTCATTAATGGGCCGATCAACAGGAAGCACAGGCCAACAAGACCAGATCCAGCCCGATCAAAAACAAAAATTAAAGTTTGGCCTAGCGTGAGGTTTGAACCCACGCCTGTTATGTTTTGGAACAAAGCTAAGCTCAATTGCTTTAATGCATATATATTTATATAATTTTTATTTAAAAACTGACATTAATAAAGTACTAATATATAACCATATATATATATATTTCATTTTTATTTTTTTTCTTTTTTTTTTTGGAAAGCCCAAGGGCTAATCAATTAAAATAGGAAAGATACATAAATGTTATATGAGAGGGCCCAGTAGAGGCACCCTACCCATACGATACAACACAGACAAACACCCCAAAAGAGAAAAGATACAGAGAAACCCAAAAAAAGGAAATATACCAAAATCGCAAAAAAGAAATAGCTAGGGACGAGCCAGTATAGTCCTGCCTATGCCTCTAGTTCTAGGGCGAGATCCTGATAACAAATTGTTGAGTGTCGAGTTATTTCCCGAAGTAACCAAAGTATCATCCATTATGTTCTCAAGCTGAAGTTTGTCTCCAATCTTCTTCTTCCTCCTTGAATAGACCTGTCATTCCTCCTCAGAAGACTGGCTCATCTGATCATCGTGTTGGTAAACAGAACACTGGGCAGGTAAAAGCCGATGAGCACCAGAAGAAGGATTGTCAACTGTTGAACGACTGTAGGTTCAAGTGTGTGTGAAGCATGAAATGTCTCCTCTTCACCTAATGTTTTCTGCAACTGAGGGTTTGAAAGTGTAGGTTGCTCAGCAGGGCCATCCAGCTTCTCATCGATCGCTAAAATAGTATTTTCAAGGGGAGGAGCCACAAGGGAGATTAAATCAGACACCATAACTGTTCTGTGGTAGTTTTTTCTTCAGATAAAACAGATATATCCAAAGTAGCGCGGTGAGATCCACTCTTATTCACTTGATCTTTAGATTTCAAATTAGGGTGAAGCTTATAACATTTATCAAGGTTGTGCCCAACCATCATACAATGAGAGAACAATAATGAGGTCTATGCTCCAGAACAATTTGTTGTCAATATCCATTGTGAGTTGTGCCCAACCAAACATCAGTAACATTAGGTAAAGTAATCAGTAACATTAGGTAAAGTAATATCTCTTTCAACAAGTATTCTGGTCACAGAAGGTCTGGCTAGGTTAAAATTGGGTAGATCTAGCTTCAAATGGTCCCCAAGTATGACACCAATAAAGTAAAGAACCCGATGATGAAAAAAGTGTAGCTTGAGATTAGGTAGACTAAACCATATCGATACAATAGGAGATTCGCGCTTGGGGAATTAGGAGACCACTTAAGTAGCTTCATTGGTTTACCAGCAATGTTGAGATATTTTTTGGAAAAAATCTCAGTGTAGTCTTTAGGCACGGCTAGTTGAATTAATATGTGACTTTCATCTATGAGCCATACTTTCCACTTTCCTACTAATTTGATATCATCGAAACTTTTCCTGATAACATCCATAGGTGGTTGTCTCCACTGAAATTTTCCAATAACAGTAAACTTGAATTTATCAATAAGGGATGAAATTTCTAGCTCGGAGAAAAAAAGAGTTGTTTTCTCACTTTTCTTGTCTGCACTCTTGATAAAGGGGCAATCACCTTCCTGTTGCTCCTTATAACTTGAGGGAACACAACCGTCATCTCCCTCTGAGAATTACCCATCACGTGGGCAAAGGAGACTTTGTCAGGTTCAACCGTAAACGAAGGAAGCTCCATCACTGCAAGAGAAGCCCTGCCAAAGTCGGGCAGCGGCAAAAATAGCAAGTCGAAAGGTCGGGGCAAAAAACTGCAGTTGTCGAAGCCGCAGAACAGTCGCAGCTCGACAAGGCAAATCGCGGAACAGCTGCAGCGAAGGAGAGCGAGAGGAACCACGACGAGACGACCTGATGCAGTGACGCGGCTCGCAGCTCGACGACCACGCAGAAGCGACGAGACGACGAAGACAAGATAGTCAGTTGCAGCTCGACGTCCACAGAAGCAACAAGACGTGACGACGGCGTAGGAGTAGACGATCGCAGGAGAGATTGACGAACCCAAAATTCGTTGTCGAGTGCGAGAGCTTCGTCTTCGAGCACGAGCACGATGGTAAAGCCAAAAGATCAAGCCAGGGAATCGTCGTTGGGCGAAACCCTAGCGGAGCAGCTCGAGCTCGCTACCGACGTCATATACATATATATATATATATAC